GAAGACCATGAGTCGACGTGGATCTGTGAGGTTTTGTCTAGAAAAGAAAGCATTTCTGCTTGTAAAAGGTATAAAGCACCATTACCCCCCACCCCAAACCACCAAAGAAAGAATGAAAAGAAACAAAGAACAAGAAAAGATGTTTTTCATATATTCGTGCATTTTATTATCGCTTTATTTATTTATTGCTAACAATGTAATTTTCTGTTTAAAAAAGTAAATTCAAATTGAATGCTTGTGCATTTATTTCATACATGTATATAATTGATGTTCATGCATAACAAATTTGCTTTCTGAATATGATAGAAATAAGCTGACATGTATTGCTTGATACTTTTTTAAACATAAAACACACAAACAGCAACATTTAACCACTTTGCTAGGTCCAGTAACTTCATCGTTTTTATTAATTATGTGTCATTTCTCAAAAGTCACTTAATATTATTGCATTATATTTGTAATGTATCAGATCTAAAATATGACTCTTTTCTATTAAATCAGTTGAAATAATGCCATCCAGAACGATTATACAAATATCAGAAAACTCCAGCTATCAATTTACTTGCACGTCGTCTATCGGTCGTCCAGTCCCGAAGATATTTCTGATAGTTGCGAAAGAAATAAATCAAGGAGATACTTTGACTTTTAAAGGAAATCAGTCCGATCATTACGACACCACTGAAAGCGAAATGTCGTATGCAAACAGCACATTTTTTTTCGTCCTAATCGAATTGTCAACGGTTGGAAACTATTCTGTTCAGTAGAAGAGACAGAAATACAAACAAAAGTACAGTCTGATCCAATTCAACTGAATATCACGTGTAAATATTCAACGAAAGTGTCATTTATCTTAAGTTTGATTTCAAATACTGCTGTGTTTGTTCAATAGAAACACCATGATATATATGTTTATCTTAAATATTTATTCACATGACAGTATAACATCTCAAAACGCACAGTTGAAGTTATAATGCATTGCGTACATTTATCATGTCTTGAAACTTAGAATCTTTTCTAACATCGGTACAAAGTTTCTAAAATTTGTGAAATAAATGCGTTTGTCTTGAACTAATATTCATTCTATAGATCCACCATTAATCGGAAAGATCGTTGATCAAACTGTAGTTGAAGGAGATGCGTTAAATTTTTCTTGTCCAGTCCCCCAGGGAATCCAAACAATACACAAATTAAATGGACGACCAGTATTGACATTGGAGACAAGTGGTTAACACAATTTCTTGTCATTTCAAATGTGTCAAGAAAGCACACCTGCACTGTCAACAATAGAATGGTGCCCACATTTGAACCAGTGGAAATAGGGTGGGACAATAATAGTTTCCATCTTACAGTTGAACGTATGTATATATAGTTATATTGAAAATGATGTTCCAATATATACGTATTGTGAGCATTAATGTCTTATTAATTGGTCAAGGAAATAAAAATTACAAACGTTTAATGTGTAGCGTAACGTTCTGTATTTATTAGTACATTATTGTTTCATTAGCTCCAAAGATATTCAAATTTTCATGTTATTTATGTCATAATTGATTTAGTTTATTCAGCATATGCCATTTAATTGATACATATTTTAGTTCATTTTAAAACGGCAAATATTACAAATAATAGTTTCAGAATCGAGTACTTGTCCATCACATATAGACATAATAGATATATATGCAATTAGTGAGGTATATTTATTCATAAAATAAAAAGTAAAATAAAACGAATATTATGCTTCTTACATATAAGAAACGTAACAAAAAAATGAGCTTTTGTAACAACTGCATGTTTCAAATCCAAAGAAACGTATTTTTGTAATTATTTATATGATAATTTATAATAAAAAGATTAGTTATAATAGAAGATTGTTGTATATTCAATGGCTCATTCACTTGGTCTGTACATTCATGTAAAAGGATTTTACCTTGGGCACATTAAATTATGTATGCAAGTTCTCCCTACTGGCTACTCTCATCAAGAGAGTCGGGGCTGATCTTGCAAGTCAATATTACCTGATTGTCTCGTTTGTGTTCTTACAATTTCTTGCAATAGAATTATACATTATCATCAATTGTTTCTTGTTGAGAGTAAACCTGATTTAACAACATCGATTTTCGATCAAGCTGAAATACATTAGACATATCGAAAACAAAAGATATTTCTGACAGTATTCCGTCTGTGACGTGTCAACAAACTGGTGCGTATTTTTGCAGTGGAAGAAATAAGCATATCTCACAACTATTAGCTAATCTGAGGACGCAGGGGAGTGATCGGCAAATGCAACTTCCTGTCATCATAATCTAAGAACCATGTATTAAGGGGAAGAATTTGTTCGGTCTAATGTGGTGCCCGATAAAAAATAGAATTCATATTGTGTTGTGCAATAATAAATACACTATGGATGTCAACTACATATTCATAATGCTATTGATCAATAATGTTAGGTATACTAGTGGTACCTAATTCAACCAGTCTAAAAATTCTCAAAAATCACATAGTCACATTAGTCATGTAAAATACAAAGTATCAATTCATTCTACTGTTAACACGGCTTACTTTTACTGTTTCATTTTTTCTGTTATAACAGTTATACTTTCAATTATGTTGAAGTTATTGACGAATTCGGTATCACTGTGGTTTTCTTTTTTAACCATGATTTCTAACGTTTCAACCTTTAAATGTTTTTCTTATAGTAAGATGGTATGAAGTAAGACAATAATTATAGTTTTTAAAACTACTTCTATTGACATTATAAACATAAACTGACTTACTTGATCATTAGTGGACAAAACTGTTATATATTCAAATAGTATCCATTATAAAGCACTAGTTGTTTCCACATCTAAATTTGAACCCGGTAAACATTTTAATGTCAACTTCAACACAATAAATACAATCAATATAAAACATAAATTATACACACTCTTTTTATGACAGACATTGATGAGACATCTTTAGTGGGCATAACTCATAAAACAGTATAAATATAAACAGTTGAAAGTTTTTCCCTTGACCAAAACAAGTACATGTTATAATGTGTCACTGATCACTAAAAGCGGAAAGTCTAACATGTTTCCTCACATAACCGTTTTCTTACAATGCCACTGATACTTTAAGAAAATTATTATTAAATGACAGTATTGCACATGTATAAACATTGTACCTGTATTTCTGGTTGTTGAGATGTTAGATTCTACTAATCTAATTACTTTAGGGTATATGAATAACTGGTTTTTCAGTCATTATTTTTTATTTTCATTTGATACTTTTACGTTTGTTTTGCAAAATACTTATATTAAAGCGACAGTATGCCCATCCATTGGGAATATCATCATTTTACTGGTAAAAGTTTAAGTACGTTTATATTCAGCAATTTTTACTTATAACTTAATAATTTACTTTGCATGAACGATAAGTAATAATAATTAGTGTATCCTGGGGAAACTTCTGTAAATATCCGCCGTAATTTAACTGTATCGTATATTTTATAAAAAGAGAGGAGCGGTACAGAGTCAATCAAACCGAGTCTGCAATTTTCATGTTATTTTGTTATGATTATTGCTGCCGAGAGATTTTTGTTATATTTTAGACCGATTTATAACATTTTCTACTATCAACTAGGGGTCGATTACCTGTCTAGCACTCAATCTATATAAATATAGAGTCAATACAGCTGAATTTCACAATGAAAAAATGAGCATAATACCACTTTAATAAAGCGTTTAAATCACATAAACGGGAAAATATAATCAAGGAAGTATTAAGCGAGTGAGCGCTACCTTATGTTTCATACTTTAGGATGTTTGCTAAGGTATCGAATCGACTTTGAAGTATAACAATAATTGTTCTAAATTCAAAGTCAGTACAATAAACTGTGATGGATATTTTGTTAAAGGTTTTCTCCTTTCTTGTGTTGTGCATGGTATTCTCAGTTAAAGGTAAAAAGTAAAGATGTTCTTGAAATTATTTAAAAATGCTGCATCTAACGTACCATGTAGTGTCTTTGGTCGCAGTGTGATTTTTCATAGCTTATTACAATATCTGTGAGTGCCATAATTTTTTAATGAACACACACAGCGTTGTCTTTATCTTAAACAGTTCCTGTAACAAATGTTTTAATGTGTTATGATAACGTTTGATATGTTGTCGTTTTTTAGTTTCTTTTGCGACAAAATATTAATATTCAATATTAATATTTTGTTTTATTTGATATTAAAATTATCCATTTCAACAATATGCCATTAAAATTGTATGATAACTATTAAAACCAATGAAAGTGTTTCAAAATCCATATTTCATAATTCTTTCTAGTTTGTGGTCATACATGTATGTTAAACTCCTAAACTGAAAATTGTCACACTAAAATGATATATTTAGACGATAAATTGTATTTTAATTACTTTTTATAGGGAATGCAAGGTATTTGCTTTCAGACTGCTTTAGACAAGTCTTGTTATTGGAAAATTGGTCCTGATCTGTTAATTGATCCCTTTTTTTACATTTGTTTATATTTTACCGTCAAATTCCTGAATTGAATCAAATTTATTTCAATCTGGAATAACTAAGTTTGATGGTTTGTAAAGTTTGCTATTTAAAACTGATTATCTTCTTCGTGATCAAATATTGTATGCAAACATTTATTTCATTATTTTTGTAAGATAGATGAAAAATATAATGTTATTGTTAAAAACAAAAAATAAGTTATACAGCATGCGTATTCATGAAGGATTTCGCGTTCCATTAAATAACGTTTTACTATCACTTTCACTTATTTGTTCACAATTCGCATTCTTATGTTTTTGAAAAAATGTACTAAATGATTTTCTACACTGATAGGTGAAACTTCAATCGAACATCTCATACAACCAGAAATAAACGACATGGTAGAAAATAGTTCTGTCTCTTTCAAATGCATGCTCAAAAGCACAACGTTTTCCATTATTTCATGGAAGTCAGAAACGTTGGGTTATACCTGTATTTATAATCAGACATGTGATATGTTGCCATTAAATCCGGAAAATGAGAGATACAGTTGTAAGTGCCAAAATACTGTCGAGGACGGAATCATTGTCGAGCTTCAGATTTACAATATTACAAGAGAAGATCATAAGTCGACGTGGATCTGTGAGGTTTTGTCATCATCAACACGTCTAAAAAAGAAAGCATTTGTGTTTGTAAAAGGTATAAAGTACATTTACCGCCCCCCCCCAAACCACCAAAGAAAGGATGAAAGAAAAACATGTTATTGATATATTCGTGCATTTTATTCTCTCTTATTTATTTATTGCTCATAATGTAATTTACTTTTTTAAAAGGTCATTTCAAATTGTATGCTTGTGCATTTATTCCATACATGTTTTAATTGGCTTTAATGAGTGTATTAATACGTTGATAGTTGTAATACTATACATTTTATTATAATTTTATCAAAACAATATCTCTTCAACGGTCAAGAAAATAAGTATATAATTGTCAATGCCTCAAATGTACACATAATAATTTAAATAGATAAGAAAAAAAAAACAATGTCATTTCATTTGTAAAGCTATATGCACATACTTTTCTGCACAGTGCATTTCAATAGTAGTCCCAAACAGTGGATTAAGCTATTGATATAACGTGTTGTTTCTGAGGATGATTCTTGATGGTTTATTTTTCCTTCTGATATGGGAATCGTGCTTTAACAAATAAACACTAGAACACATCACATAATCTTATTAACTTTCTAATTTACTTTTAGAACTGAATATATGTACAATATTATGTATATGTGTACGTGTCAGTGTTTTCAATATGCAAAACATATCTTAACATTATAATAATCTATGTCAAAAATTGAATTTTATATAAGAGAAGAACTTCTTTGATGATGTTTAATTGGTGTTCATGAATATCAATTTTGACTTCTGAATATGATAGAAATACGCTGACATGTATTGCTTGATATCTTTGTAAACATAAAAAACACAAAAGCAACACAATCTTATTTTCAACATTTAAGTGGTTTGCTAGATCCAGTAACTTCATTTTTTTATTAATCTTGTGTCATTTCTCAAAAGTCACTTTATATTATTGCATTATATTTGTAATGTATCAGACTGATATCTTAAACATGACTCTTTTCTATTACAGTTTCTGTAAAAACAGTTGAAATAAGGCCATCCAGAACGATTATACAAATATCAGAAAACTCCAGCTATCAATTTACGTGCACGTCGTCTATCGGTCGTCCCGTCCCGAAGATATTTTTGATAGTTGCGGAAGAAATAAACCAAGGAAAACGTTTGACTATCTTAGACAATCATGATCAGTCCGATCATAAAGACACCACTGGAGGCAAAATGTCGTATGCAAACAGCACATTCTTATACAGTCCTAATCGAACTGTCAACGGTTGGAAACTATTTTGTTCAGTAGAAGAGACGAAAATACAGACTAAAGTACAGTCTGATCCAATTCAACTGAATATCACTTGTAAGTATTCAACGAAAGTGTCCGTCATCTTAAGTTTGATTTCAAATACTGCAGTGTTTGAAATAAGGTCAAAAGAGGTCGAAAAAAGCATGGATTGGGTTTTTTTGTTTTATGTTAACCAAAAATTGCTTTTTATCGAACATAGCTGAATTGGCAATTATTGTTATAGCTTTAAAATGTGTACTATTTCAGATCCTCCTGAGTCAAGATTAATAATAAATGGACTTTTCAATGAGGGCACTTATAAAGTGATTGAAAATAGTACTGGGTTATTAAATTGCACAATTATAGGAGGAAATCCAGCACCAATTGTTTCTTGGACTACTTGCTTTGAAACAGATAAAAGTAGTCTAAAATATAGCAGTACATCAATGGAAATATACTCAGACGTGTTAAAGTGGAAAGCAAAACCTGACACAGATATGAAATGTACATGTGATTGTACACAGATGGAGCAAAATCAGTCTTTATCCATAAATGTGCAAATTATATGTGAGTATATCAAATATGTATTTTTAAATAAAATAAAGTCTTGGCGATACTTTATGAAAAAGCAATGCGTATAATAGAGTTAAATCTGGTGTCATTTGATTATTTCTAAACTGTACACATAACTTACGGTACCTATGATTTGATATTATTATGTTATGTTAAAAACGATTGCTTAAAGCGCGAACGATAAAATATTGAGCACTGAATTGTATAGTCCATTCGATCTGAATTGGAGTAGAAAATCATTTTTTATAATAATTGAGATCAATAATTTGAATAGTATGTAAATAGATATGATATAAAATCACCTTCTGATTTATTTCCAATATCAAACTCCTTTTCAATATACAAAAATTTAGTTTTCTTGGATTGTTATTACACGTTTTGCTTCAGATCCTCCACGTTTGCCAACAATGACATCTGGTAACGAAGTTTTGACAGGTCACATTTCGGTTTTAATTAACACACTTCTTCGTTTAAACTGTACCAGTGATAGTAAGCCGTCTTCAAAATACAAATGGAGATTTAACAATGTTCACCTTTCTGACGGCCAACACTATGGCAAGCAATCACAGAAAGCAGATCAAGGACTTTACACGTGCGTAGCGACAAATGTTCTTGAACCGACTGATGGGATTGCACGACTTGTTTCAAGTAACACATCTTTCGAGCTACACATTCTATGTGCGTAACATTATATACATTACATATTGTTATTCTGAAATGATTAAATAAGTACTGATATATTTGTTCACCATAATATAATTATATGCTTTTCTAAATTATTTATTCACATGACAGTATAACAGCTTAATTTATTATGAATTGCGTACATTTATCATTTCTTGTATTTTTAACATAGGTACAAAGTATTTTGTGAAAGAGATGCATTTGTCTTTAACTAATATTAATTCTATAGATCCACCAACAATCGGCAAGATCGTTGATCAAACTATAGTGGAAGGAGATGCGTTAAATATTTCTTGTCCAGTCATCCGGGGGAATCCAAACAATACACAAATTAAATGGACGACCAGTATGGAGATTGGAGAAAAGTGGTTAACACAATTTCTTGTTATTTCAAATGTGTCTAGAAAGCACGATATGGAATACATCTGCACTGTCAACAATACAATGGCGTCCACATTTGAACCAGTGGAAACAGGGTTGGACAGTGAAAGTTTCCATCTAACAATCGAATGTATGTATATAATTATGTTTAAATTTCTATTTAAATATAAATGTAATTATTTTCTCTTTAGATATCTATAAATCTGTCGAGGAAATCAGATATATACATGTTACCGTTCTTTATTACAAAAAAAGACGCAAGAGTTATGTTAAAAGTAGTGCTTCAAGCAATGTAGCTGCAGAAGTTATTTAAGCGAATGAATGGTGAAAGACATGTGCTTTTCCGTGTGATATTTCTGTTAAAGTTTTTTTGTCATATCTATCGAGAGGGATTTTTGCCATTGCCGAAATTAATGTTTCTTTGTTCGTGTGTTACGTATATTGAGATAGCTTAATATGCTGGTATTTTTCAAACCACAAAATTCCAGCTTATATGAAAGCGGATCCATTAATTAAGAAATCGTGCTTCCGTTTTATTTTGCAGACAAATCTGCAGTAAAGGCATTCTTTATAGATGGATATTATCAACAAACAAATATAACAGTAAACGAAAGCGACAACCTTTTATTCCGATGTCATATTGAAAGTAAACCTATTTCAACAACATCAATTCATTTTGAATCTGGAGAGGCATTAGATGTATCTCAATCAAATGATATTTCTTACAATATACGGTCTGTTGCATGTCAACAAGCTGGTATATATGTCTGTAGTGGAAGAAACAAGCATAACGGCCAAGACATGGCAAAACAGACACTGTTCATCTCAATTAATTGTAAGTATATATTATTTTATGGTAGCTCTCGTGTATATAACATTGTCATGCACATGGCAAACTATCTTATTTATACAACAATAAGTCCTTTTATAGTAAAAGAGTTATTTTGTAGAAAGAATTGGATTTTTAATTGCCTTTGAGTTTTCAAGTAGAACGTACTATAGCGGTATATCCAAATCACATGAAATTGTGTGACATCCAAAACTCCAAAAGTATTAAAAATTGAATTTCTTACATAGGTCTGATAGGACATTTTAACAGAAAGATATGCAAAAAGTATTAAGAAATACATACAGAAATGCATGAAAATCGTATTTGTGTGTCATTCTTAACCCGAACTGAGTGAACGGCGTTGCAACGCTTTTCAATTTATTTTATTTTAATAGTAATTCTTTAAATTGGCTTGGCTAAGCTTTGAGAACAATTTATACAAGAGTTTGTTTAAAAAATACAATTTCTTTGATAGGTGCACCGAGACCTGATTCTAACTATCCTGTTACAAAGAGTATTACTGTTTCGTTGAACGAATCTGCTTCCCTTCATTTCACTGCAATAGCATATCCAAAACCAAAAAACGTTTTATGGCAGAAACACAATGGTGACGTCTGGATAGATATTAATTCGACCAATAATATAAACCTTAATCGTTCAGACTTGAACTTTAGTCTTGATATAAAAGCAATTGTGCAAGAAAGCTATGGAATATATAGACTGATAATCGTCAACAAATTTGGCTCATTTGAACAACTATTCTTTATCAATGGAGGTAAATGATAACCGTATTTTTTTTTCTTGAGCTTTTAATGACTTGGGTTTTACTTAACATATTTATCTTTACCACAATTTACATCATTAATTTTGGCAAATCCTACACATTAACTTTTTGCGGCTAAGAATAGATAAGCACTGGACGAAAGGAAAACTGGATTTCCATATTGAAAAACCCTACTGTTTAAATTATTTGAAAAACTACGTTTGTGGAAAAGTATGTACATTTATAGTATACATTTGATAAATTAAATGTATTAATTTGTATTTTGTTTCTGAAATTCAAAATTGTGAAAATCATAATTATATATAATAAAACATATAAGATATTCCAAAGAAATATAAAAACATATTTATCTTATCTTCAGTTAATTCAGAACATGAATACAATCCAAATGTAGCGAGCTACATTGCTGTCGGAGTTGGCACATTTGCTGTTACAGTACTTGCGTTTATCTTGTCTATTGTTGCCTTTAACTGCACCAGGTAATTGTTTTTGTTGTTGTTGTTTTTCGTTGTTATTTGTTTTGATACACATTTTCTTGTTAATTTTAATGTCATTTAGATTCAATTTGATGTTAAACATAAAAAAGACACGATCATTGTTAACAACGTTTTACTCTATGTCTCATTTCAGGCGAAAAAGACACAGTAAAAGTAATACCCAACAGTCAGGTAAACATTCTATTATAATGAAAGTGTTTAAATTAAAAATGTTATTACGTGGTAGTTGGATTTCTTATGTGGATATATCAGATCAAAAACATAAAACATAATTTGCCGTACGAAAGTAGATTATTAGAGTGTCTTTTTTTCCTGATACTCATGGTATCACTTGTTGCAGATGTGTTATATACCTTAAACGTGCTCATTTTCCAAATAAAAAAGCAACACTCTGATTTTCAAAATATAAATAACCGTAAGCTAATGATGGAAATAACTCATTGTAATTGCTGATATACAAGGGTTGTTTTGGACGTTCTTGGAATAACACCAAGTCATTTTTTATTCTGAACACATTTGGCTGACACTTTTAACAACTAATGTTGAAACATTTTTGATCACATTTTGTAAAAAATGCCATAAATGGAACAATGACTTATATACAATACTCGGAAAATGATTGTGTGTAAATGATATGAGCGATCCGGGACATCTAATAAGAAGAGGTACACATGTATATGGAAGACAATAAAATAGCTGGTCGGCCTTAAAAATAAGAAACGTGGTTTGTGGCCATCCCTTTGAATCATCGGTTGAATTTCTTAACTTGCACAGACCGTTTTAGCTTACTTTTATGCTAGCGGTACATGTACATTTTCAACAAATGATATGCGAATGAGTTGCAATTGTTAATACTGGTAATATTTGAGAAGGCGATCCGTCCTCCGGACTTTAGGAGTATATAAAGTTGTTTGGCGTCGTTGTGGAATATTAATGACATACATCTAGTTGCTTTTGATAGTACTGGCATTTTGTCATTTTCCCATATTTGTTTAAAATTTTATTATTCAAGAGCTGTTGGTATTTAAAGTACATGTATTGTTCATTTATACAAACATAACAACAATGTTAACATCAACTCCGAGAACTTCCAGGACGGCCCTTTCATACAATGAGATAAAAGCAAAAATTATCACTGTAACAGTACATGAAGTTTTTAAATGTTTCATATTAATAATATTCAACATATGTATTTTATCATAATATTAATATAGGAAACCAACGTCCAGCAACTAGCGAAGAAATATCTCTAGATTTACGAAGGGAAGAAATCGGTATTGAATCTACATACGAACAACTGGATAAATCGAATAATGAGATTTGTCTGTACACGGCTGTTGAAAATATTAGCACGGGCTCCAGCAGCAAAGATTATGTTAATATGAACATATAGAAATGAATAAGAAATTAATTTATATATTTTCAATAACGAAATAATTATATTCTGTGCAAGGAAGTGAAAGCGGGAATGATTCACGTTTTAACATAAAGTGTGTTTGCATGTATATAAGTCTGATTACATTTTAAATATTGAATTGAAAAAAACACTACATGTATATATATATTGGCATAAACATTATCGAAATAGTCCAGTATTTTAAGTTTGACAGTGTCAGTGTCGTAGATGTGCGTATATTGTTGGCACTGATTCTTGTCCAAACACATAATAGTCTTAAGCAGTAGACTCTTACTTTTAAGACGGTAAAAAACTTTTCAAGAGATTGAACAGTAGTTGTACATTTATAATACAGATACAGTTTAATATATCAACAAATTCCTCAACCAATTCAATCCGAAAACATTTGGTTAAGTTTGATTTTAGTAAGCCATTTCAGAACCATAGGAAGAGTATCCACTTTGTCGTACTTTCGTGTTTCGCCCGGCTCCTCGCATAGCAAATGAATGACAAAATTCTCACTAAGTTATTACGTCGCAAACTGGTCACTTTGTCATCTTTTTGAGTATTTGTTGGCCTAAAGATGAAAATACGACAAAGAGGTCATTTGCCGTATTTTCGTTTTTTAGTGATTTCGTCTGGCGCCTCGCGGAGCAAAATTACGACAAATTGATCACTTTGTCGTACTTTCGTTTGGCACCCCGAGGAACGAAATACGACACGGGGCACAAATCAGTCACCATAATATCCTCTTTAAATTCTCAACGATTTAAAGAAGGGTTTTAAATAGTTGTCATAAAAAATGATTTCCTGGCTTCGCTCTGAACTTCACAAATTGTCGTGAAATTACCATAAAGATTGCCTAATTCATTTCTCGACTACGATACACCAGGTTATTTGTTATGACGGGTCTTCAAAATTGAATACAATATATATCTGCAATTTCTTATTTGCAGGACAATGGACGAACATTTGACAGGTGAAAATAGCACTCTTGAAATGTCAGCTTATTTCTCCCTGGTTTAAGGTTTTATCAAAAGGAAATTAATAAGGTCATGAATAATACAATGTGTATCTATCAATTTTTTAATGACATTTAATGAAATAGCAAATATACAAGCAGATATAGTCTGATTTGATTGACCTTTAAATTATGAATACATAATAGCACTCATTTAAATATTCGATCCAACTTCGGGTTTGTCAGTTTATTTTACGAAAACTCCCACTTGCTTAATGTAGATTCTCGTAAGAACCGCAATACCACAGTCGGTTAAGTGATTACCTAATGTATGAGAGGTCCGAAGTTCGATCCATTCTTTTTAAATTCTTTTAATGCTTATTCTATCTTTATAATTATTTGAGTATATTTTAATAAAAATTGTCAAGCGTTTGCAAAATTATCTACACGGATATTAAACAACTAAGACACATTGAATTGTCACGTTTTGTATTGTATTTTACGGCACTGAAATGACATTTATTGATTTTAATCTAAATGAATTTTGAATATTAATTCTTAAACAAGTATAGTATTTACCAAAAAAATGCAAAGCATATTAAACAGAAAGAACAACCATAACTTAAATAGTTATGAATCGGAAAAAAACTGGACATACACTGTCTCGTCTTATAACATGTAGGACATTTAGATGTTATATACGCGTAGTTTACCCTTTTTCGCTATAACGGCCAGTGTAGCTAGCTACATGTACCTTATAGAAACAAGATTAATTTAATAACATCTTACTGCGTACATTACCGTTTACCGAACATTTATCGGATATTAATATATTCTGTGAATTGACCGTATAATCAGTATGGAATTGTCAGGTTAATAAAATCAAACAATAACAAGTGCAAATGTCTTTTACGAACGTTTGTCGGAAAGGAAACCCAAAACTTTTATATCTTGTTATATTACATAGAAAGTGGCAAAGGAAAGTTCTCGAGATAATCCTCTGTAGTTTCACATAGTGTGTTAATTGTCTGCTGAGACATAATTATCTCTGAACAATTTTTATACGTTCGCCTTCATATAAGGGTTATGAATTTGGAAGTAGTTCCGTAAATCTAGTTTCGCTTGCAAAGCTGCTTTAAAACATGATATGCATATACTTGACATATACCATTCGTAATTTATGTTGTATACATATACATCTTTGGACCTAGTTATTAAACTTAAATAAGGTACCACTTACTTCATTTAGAATAAATGAACTGAGTAAGGAGAAAAAAGAAAGTTATACATGAACGAATGTTGGGGACATTTAAAATTCATGAATTCAATATAATATTTTGAGTTCTTGAAGGAAGTACATGTACTTGACTTCACGGTTTCATTTTCATAAATTCACGAATTCAACTTCACGTATTCCCCTATTTCAACTTCACGAATTCAACTTCAATCGTCAATTCATGAATTCCATATGTTGAAAAACGTGAAATTTACGAAATTAAAATTTTGAATTTATGAAGATGAAATCGTCAAATCATAAAGGTGAAATGTCCCAACCGGTCTTTCGTATTATACCTAAATTTTCAATATTCATCTTTTTGGTACATGTGCTTTAAACGAACAAGGAAGTGAAAATATCAGATAAATTTTAATGTATTGGCTGTTTTACAGCCATGTATATAGTCAGGTTTATTTAAACTTTAGTGAAAAAATGAAAAACACAATGGATATTGGCGTCAATGTGATATTGTTTGCGTTTGTTGCATCGTGTTTTCAAGGTAAATAATATCTTACAACACTTTATCTTTTTTTTTGCAGAGTGAATCTGAAACCACTCAGCTTGATAATCATGCTAACAATTTTGCGTGAATTCCTTCGTCGTTTAACAACGTTACTCTATTGTTTAATTCTATTCAGAATATATATCAATTTTATCAACATTATGATATGTATTAACCCACCACTTTGATAGTTACAAAAAACTGCAATGATTGATATTCATATAAGTAACATTGATAATAGGTAAAATTTATTTATGCTCATTTTCTCGCTGTCATGTTGAGCCAAATACTATTACGGTATATAGCAAAAGGTTTACTTTCATACTGGTGTTTGATCAAATGTTGATAACTTAAAGGATAAATGTAAAAACCAGTAATAGTATGTATAAAAATATTTCCCAACTCTCATGACTCTGTTATCAACAAACGGTTACCGATTAATTTGGAAGGATATGTATATTTTTTGCGTCAAATGGTTTTAAATTACGGATTATTCAAATGGTTTAAACTATAAAATTGTAAACACGTATTGCTAAAGGTAAAGTTACTCGTACACTCACCATTTACTCTTAAGCGGGCATAACGTAATTTTAAGATTTTTTTTTAAATCTAGTTTTTGTCTATACTTTGCCAGATTTATTTTTCACTATGTGAAATATCAATTGATAGCCAGTTACAATTGTTTTGTCTTTTTGTCACAGTCTCATTATGGTAGGTTACGTTACACGGAACTTGTTTCATATTTCGTTTCTCAGCATGCCTTCTCTTATCTATTTAGAAGACGTTTTGAAGCAAATAATTTTTACTTGAATTTATGCCGGCTAAAATAGTTAGTATATAAAAGTTATTCGAATTGATGTGTTCATTTGATGCAGTGTTCTCTTTTTGTAGTTACTTTCGTATTATTCATGTATGCTCAAATTGAAAACTTAAAAATAAAAATTCGATTTCAGTCCTATTTTTTTCTTCAATATTACTATGACAAGGTCATCAGTATTTTAAACGAAGTGCTGTTAGATAACTGTAAATAACTGAACATTTACTACTGTACTATAATAAATCACATCGCACTTGAAAAATGGTGTATTCATTTGTGAGAAAACACCCTTAGTTTTCAATAAAACATCTCCAACACGTCCCACTCCATACATCTTCTGGATAATGTGAAAATAAAGTAACAAACAGTAAGAAAATTCATTACATGGTAATGAATTTCTGCAGCAGTTTAACATTTCATGTATGGACTTCATAATTAATCCTATGATATTATTTGGCAAATGTTAATAAAAGTTACACATTCACAAAGTTACAAAAGACCTACTGCAGTAATTACAAATCAAAGGAGACTAAACACCAAATAATTTGGCTCCGTCTCGGGTGTTACTTCATTTCAAGAGTTGATAATATACATGTATTCCCTGAGAGACGTGTTGGTTTTATTATACCAAGCAAACAGCTTTAATATAATAGTATACTATTTTGATATTAGTAAAAATGTTAAACTGAGCAGAGTGACCAGGGGAGAGAACTAGAACTAGAACATTAAGTTTGTAACGTGCATGGGCTAGCTGTTAATTATTTATTTTTTCTTACTACTTTGCCAGTTGATTGTTTACTTATGATTATAAAATGATTTGTTCAAACTTTGGAATCAAGTTTAATTAAATATTGTTTATAACAGTTCTGTCCCTTTATGTGCTTTACTTGAACTTTATATAAAACTAAGGTGTCACTTTTTAGGCTATTTTCTATATATTAATATTTATTATCCACTTGGATATCGAGTTTACTTTTAAATAAGTATTAACAATTACACCTAACGCAATGTTAAACTAATGCAGTTGATATGTTTCGTAAATAGTGCAATATTCCAAGCAATCAAACTTAAAATATTAATTAATTTTTTATGTGATGTTGACACTTCGGCAACTGGGCAGAGACTGACTGTCCGCAGCTTTGAGCTCTATTTATACCCAATAATGTACATGTAGTTATATTTAATAATCGTTAACTGAAAATGAGGAAATCAAGCATTCAAGAGACATGGATATAGGGTCGAATATTGGTACGAATGGTAATGAGTTCGAATGATTTTAAGGACAAAGTATTCTGATATTTTATAAATAATAAAATTTGCCATGAATAAATTGTTTAATCTAATAAGTTCTTATTTATGTATTTTTTACTAATTTATCAAATAGACCAAGTCTGTGTTGAATAGCCGATAAACAACGCTAAAACCGATATTATTTCGATTCTTTTAAGATAAAATAAAGTAGATCACCATAAAGCTTTTTTTTCAAGCGGATTTATTTCCGTTTCCGATTGTCGCAATTGACGTTTCTATTTCCCGAAGTTTTTTCTCGGTTTTTGTTTACTTTATTTCTTTTTTACGTTATTTGCCTTGGAATAAACATAAACGAATACGCCTACATGTTAGAAAAAATGCTTGTGAGTATAATTACCTCTTGGTATCAATTTCACCCATGAGTAGTGATTTATTTACAACAACGAAATCGGCTTGTGAAACAAAATTCCCATTGTTGATATTTTGCAAATTTCAGGTTTTCATTTATAAGTTACGATTTACTTTGAACGCAATTACGTTTTTTTTTTCAATAAAACTATTCATCAATGTATAAAGTGTTTGCTCTGTTGGTCGGCATTTCCTTATAGAGTGGGTGAAACACTTATTCTAAAATTGATATTGATAATTCAAATCTTAGGAATGAAATTTGAATAATTTCGGCTATCTACTGTACAAAACAATGATGCATTTAAATACAGATACTAAGTCATTTTCTTCAGCATAGGATAATCGCACAGTGCATTTGTCAAACAGTTCCATTGGTATTTGCTTTGTAGATTCGAGATGACTCTTTAATTCGTCTTTATATAATCAATTCTATGCATAAAAAACAGCAAATCCTTCAAATTCGTTTTCATTGTCTTTTATCTACATGTGCAACAACAATTACCAAAATAAAAAAAAAAACAATCCAATTTATGTCAAGTAAATGGAATACACAAAGCATTCGAATGAGATAATGGAAACCATACTTTTATTAAGTACCAAAGTCAACATTGTCTGATGCAGGGTGCATATCGTGTCTCGTCTATAACCTTTCCATTCACCAAGTGATTTAGAAATAAATTTATTCAAATGTCAGTCAAGGACACACTTCGAGATCAAAGGTCAACACCGCCTGAAACAGGGTATATAATATAGCTTCCGTTACATAATGATATCACCAATCAAGGAATTTTGAAATAACCCGCCACAAATGCTAACCATTGCACGACGGCATGTCATGCATAACAAGAAGACCGCTTCCTCCAAGGTCATGGTCATTCTTGGAGATTAAATATCCAGTTTTCCTGATGAGACTATTTTGTGTCCGGACCAAAACCTTTCCATCGATAATTAAGGGATTAGGGAATACCTTGGTGCAATTGATAACGAATAAGACGACGTGTCATGCGCAATACCAAGAACCATGCCTTCTACCTCAAGGAAATTTTTGATGCGCAACATGCAGATCCCTACCACAAAGGTTAAACTTATAGGTGAAAGCTTAACATTGTTTGTATTCCCCTTGTCCCAAGAATATTATATCTATCAATGCACTGACATTCAATTAAATGGTTATTTGGCTTAAAAAATGAGTTGCCTGAACTTGGATTTGAACTTAAGACCTCTCGCTTCTAAAGCGAACGTGAAAACACCTCGACCACGGGGAGTTATAAGATATAAGCCTGAAGTATACCATATTATTCTAAATTAGAGTTTGTAACCCTTATTAATTTCGATATATTTTGTTCACGGTAAACCTGTTGTTTAACACTGGAGTAAATAGTCATGAAGCATGTATATCTATAAGAATAACAATATATCTATAAGAATAACACAATATTAGAAATCTTCGACTTATCGGGAACTATTTTTTCGTTACGAAAATTAATGCGCCTGTCATTTGACAATCTTTACGCAGTGATCTCCCATTATTTGTTCGGCGTTAATGTACATATGAAGGGAAGTTACCGCTTCGAGGGGTTTGGACTACTTTCGGTATTTGCAAATAAGAACATTAGGGTCTGAAATTTCGCTACCATTATTTGTTTGGTCTGACTACCCAAACAAATAAAAATATAATAAATATCAGTTAAGGGTACTGCACTGCAAAAGGCCTATAACTCCGTGGTTATAATAACTTATAAACGTTCTCACTTGATGTACATTTATCGGTGGTAAAACTGCACTAATGGATTTGTATAAAAACAGGAGCTATATTGCTATAACGTATTTATTGTTGCATTTTCAGATCTTGCATAAGATTTTTAATAAAATCTTTACCTCAAACATTTAAATAATACTATTTGTGACCCATGTAAAACATCCTTTAGCTGAGGGACAATTACAAATTCTTGATTCAATAAGTCCGCCGCCTGTCATTATGTTTTTTTTTTTCATATATCATATTTCATATTAAAATATATCATTATAAGTGAAGTAATAGCTCTGTATACCAGAGTTTTTAAATATGATGTGTTTTAAGATAATGTGTTAAGTATATGTCTCTTGTTTTTTGTGTGTTTTGTTTGATGCCTTTTGTTTGTTATTCTTTCCAGTTTACCTATTATTTATAAATCAATAATTCTATTTTCATCGAGAAAATATGTCATTTTCTTGATATATAACCTCAAATTAAAAATGGTTTTAATCGTGTACATCGGTTTAGTTTCATGTACTCTGAGTTATATCTGTACAATCTTATACCCCGGTCACATATTCACGGAAAATTATCACGGAAGAGCCACGGATTAATTCCGGCATCGACCGTATCTACCCGTACTGGTCAGTAGCTCTCCGTATTGTAACCGTAATCAATCGTAGTAGTCCTTGTATATCCGTAGCGATCCTTGACAATTTTTGAACATGCACAAAGTTTGCTGCTGAAAAATCAACCATACAGTATACTGGCCCGTATTAAACCGTACTGGTCCGTACGAAAACCGTACTAGAACGTACTGATTCGTAGGCCCCAACTTGTCAATGATTCCACGGTTTGATACGGAGAACTACGTATTTGTACGGTTACCCTACGTATAAGCTACGGGCTTAAAACGGATTTATAGGGCATTGTCACAGAAACGATCGTATTAAGTTGTTCCACGGAGAGGCAGGGATTAGCAAGGTCTTATACGGTTGAGTGAGACTAAGAAAAGGATTGGAGCACCACACTTAATACCGTTTTCCGGTATATACCGGACAAGGCGCTTGAATGATAAAATGCTAAAATCTTGCCTTTAACCCAACGGAATGAACTTTAAAAGGTCTAATTCATATTTTCACGCCGATTTATGTATGTTAATGAATGAAATATGTAAAAATCGTAGAAAAAAACGATATTTGTCTATTTTATTATCATGATTTCTGCAAGTGTCTAGAGGTACTGCTCCAATCCTGTATTGAGTTAAATCCAATACGGTTTATTGCGTTGCAACACAAAACAGTAAAGAATGGTACGGTCCACCATAGTTAAGTACACATAAATTAAGCATCATGTACTTTTTCAAGGGAATAAATACTACCTTCTTGTTAAAAACAGACATGTTTGCGTTTTCAAATTGCGAACAAAATCATGAACATTCAATAAAAAATATTTACCATAAACTGGCTGCAACTGCATATTTATATGGCTCAGAAGGCGGAGGCAGTGCTCGAACTGCTTGATGACATGCATTGATGTATTAGATATATTAATATTGTACTGCAGTGCCTTAGTAATAGAATAACATTTCAGGTTACATATTTTGCAAAACATTGGATCGTGAAATTAGAGTAAATATGTACATAAAACGAAGTGTCTCATAAGCCTCGGACGCTGGCCCTTGAGTGAGATGATAAGCTGTTTACATTCACGATAATTAATGTAATTGTAAAATGAACAGCCGGTTGTAACATCAATAGAGAAGCAGTATTGATCATCACTTTTCATTAATAATCAGGTAAGGAAAGACAGAGGAGAGGGTGGACAAGAGATTGGCTTTTACGAAGACCGCTTCATGGCCAGTATGAGGCTCTCATGGCCGTATTTGTTGCTTATACCGTCGGTAGGACTGACGGATAGATATAATGATGCTTTTGTTTCTTCTGATATTTAAAGAGCTGAACAAACAATAACAGCACGTACATATATTATTACAATAGAGAGGTTCATGCCATCTGTAAAGTGAATGACCGTACCATTACATATAAAATATTTTTTTTTATTTCCAGGAACCGACTCAAGTGTGACAGTCTATCCACTTGTCATTACTGTTCTTGAGGGTAACAATGCTACAGTTCGGTGTATATATAACGGAGAAAACAGCATGCAGGGAGTCTCATTCAGTCTAAATCAGTCCGGAATCGCAACTATATTTTTACCTAATTGTACATTCAATGCTCTAGGTTTTGTCAATTACATTACTGCTTGCGAAGGAAACAAAACTTTAGTGGTGACCTTAGTTAATGTCTCAAGGCATGATCATGGAAAAACACTGACATGTATAGCTTTCCTTCACAATGCTTCCCCGATACAGTCGTCAAGTGCAACATTATTGAATGTAAATGGTAATTATACAAGTTTTATTCATTGCATTTAATTGATATAGAATTTTGTTAAAGAAGAAAAAATATTGGAGAAATATGCAAACAAATAACATAAAATGTAAGAGAAGAGATATCTCAACAGCGATAGGCTAATCACCAAAATACATGAGTATTCTAACTTTTAAGCTGTCAAATAAATAATCGCAGTTTACATATTGCTTTGCTGTAAATTGCAAATGCCTTAAGTTACTGCACCTTCTCTCACTTTTCAATTTGTTTTGTCGGGAAATCGGACAACGCGCAAAAGCTAAACAAGTAAGATTTTACGCAAGCGTAAAATGGCTGCAAATACACGGTGTAACACCACAGCTAAGCACGACTACTCAGTACATGCTGTGGACAGATACGCTTAAGTCAGTGTCGCAGCGAATATTTCCCAGTAATTGTGTTTGTAATATTGGTCGCATTGGTTACCGGTCTGATGCTTTTAATGCCTTATCAACAAAATATAAAAAGCAGCTATTAAAGTTTTGCAAATCTTTTGCATCTGTTGGTTTTTTTTATAGTTTAAGTGATATTGTATTTTGTATGGAAGTCAAACCAGTATAATTGTTTTTAGATATTCCCTACTTTATTACAATTAATTTTGTATTTAGTGCAGACCCTTTTTCCAGGACAAAAACTCTAAACCAACCCTAAAATCATGACTAAAATATAATAAAATTGTCATTTTACTAAAAACAAACCCAAAAACAAGCAAGCTTATATTTTTAAGCATAGTGACTCTTTTCTTTCACTTTAAAAAAATTCTTGCTCGTCTTAAAATAATTTGATCGTTTTTATGTTACAGGAGTATAGGGGCGGTTTGGCATCAACTATTGTGCATGTTAGGTGGCCATTTTAGTTGCTTTTCATAATTATTCATTTGCATATAAGCAATCTTTGTTATCAGCATGTACTTATGTTTATATTTTATGATCAATATACAGAGCTGACTTGCATACACGTGCAAGAACTTGAATCGCGCACACTTGACGGCTCAGGTTCTCATTTCCACACATAGCAAAGTTTAACGTTTATTTCTTTAGAAGAAAGTACGTTGCCGGAAATGCAATTTGTAAATAAATAAATGCGCTTACCCGACGTTTCTTCCTTCACGTCCAACAATCAAATGACGTGTACATTATAAGGTTAAAGCGATCATTTCCTTAATGCGCCTGTACGAATAATTTATAGAATAAATAAGCTTATAAATATCACCGCAATGCCTGACCCTTATAAGTGTTATTAACAGATCTTACCGAAACCTTTCGTAGGAAACCAAACACTTCTAAGTTATGCCCAAGGATAAGGGAGCTAGGCCTTTTTTACGCATGAGTGATTTTACTTCTGGTTTGACGGTACGAGCTTATAGAATTAATTAATTCATTTCGCACGATACTAAACACGGCTAGGTTATGTCCAGAAATAAGCGAAAAACACCATTCTACGCATAAGTGATTATGTTTGCAATATTGAAACTCTCCAATCTTAGAAACGGTAAAAGACAGTTCCATAAAATCATACATTTTTTATATCTACTCACCGAGATATTTCCAACGGTATATGGCCCTTAGTTTTTTTTTTGGACTTTGAAAAATTGGTTTAAATATCGCTAAATGGTAATAACTCGAAAATGGTTAAAAGTCAAACTGATAACCAAGAATTTATTTTTAAGGACTGTCACAGATCTATCAAATGAAACAAAGATCTTGAAAATTAAATAATATAGCAAAATGTTGCACAAAAGACAAAAAAGGCATTTTTGTCTAGATACATTATCTCAAAATTTATCCAAGTTAGCCTTTTAAAATAAGTCTTTATTTTGAAAAGTATATGTATCAATCAGCTAAAAAGAAAAAAAGTTTCCATTCACATAATGCTTGTCCGGAAAACAACATCCTTAACATTAGGGCGTATTTCTTCCTATTCTAAAAAAAAATCGCACGAAAATTAACTTGATATCTCAATAGGCTATTGTTAACCCATCCACTCTTAAATCAAAAGACGTCAGGCACTATGGCTATTATCACGTTCGGTGCACTAGTGATATAATGTCCGGTGGCCGATAGCTGTAAAAATGTATCTATTCGTTTCTTATTGACGTAGCTAGTCATAAATAACAAAAAAAATCAGGCATTGCGGTGACATTTATTAGCTCATTTATTTTAAATCTAGTTTGCGCAGACGCGTTTGTTTGTGTTATTGGGTTTTACGTCACAACGACACAGTATAGATCATATAGCGACGTTCCAGCTTTACTGGTGGAGGAAGACCTTACGTGCCCTTCCGTGCATTCTTTCAGGCACGAACAGTACATGAGAACCATCGACGTTCCGTAAGGTAGCGGGATAGCTTCCTCACATGAAATAATTCAAAGTACCTGTTGGGACTCGAACACAGTAAGGAAAAATGCGTCTACAATGTACGTCATTTGATTGTTGGACGTGTCTTCACACGTGGATTAGCGCATTTATTTATTTAAAAACTACATTTCAGGCTACGATATTTTTCAGTTAGTTGTCTATACAAAAAACGTTTGCTTGATGTTAATATTGTTTTTTATTACCTAAGTTGGTTAGATTATCCCGTCTGCAGTTGAGCACCTGCGCGATTCAAGCTCTTTATTGTGTATGCAGCTCTGTATATTTCTGGGATATTAAATAAAAAACGTTGAGGTCATAAAAGATAAACATTATTACATGCTTATAACAAGATTGCTTTAATGCAAATGCAAACAGCAACTCAAATGGCCGCCACACCTATACTTTTTATGTTTTATTTCATTTATTTATATATATTTGATATAAGTTTATACATATTGTTTTGCCTGAATGTATATGGCTTTTTCAAATATTGCATCTGTATATCAGAGATACACAGCATTCTTTCGAGGATAGTATTCAGGCCTTCTCTGTGCGGATAGATTTATTATTATTATTTTACCTATTTACATCTGTTAATGATAGAGCTACCTCTTTCGGAGGTACGGTAAATTGCTCTATCGCTATTTCAGAGGAGGTAGTCCTTTCGACAAGGAGGTAGCTCGATGGTTACGTACAAAGTATCTTATTGTATGTGTATTTTTTATTCATAACATTTATAACGATACAAAAAATTAATAAAAACAATATTATACAAAGGTAATTACTATACATGTATATCATGCATAATTTACATAATAAAACTTTAACATTTACAGCGTTACAATTGTTATCGACTCAATTGTTTTAACTGTACACAACTTTGTGATAAAAAGCATACTGTATTACCTATATTCTTGTAGTATCAAATGAAGTATTGAACATGCGTTCATTCAATATCATTATAGTTAATACATACCTTGTCACTTTTGCCACGTTACATTAAGAACTGGACTTAAAATACATGTTAAGACTTTAACTTTTTGTACAGAACTTACAAAACATAAACATACAAAATATTTGTCCGTTTCAGATAACTGTATTTACATGGTGTATATCAAGACATGAGTAGTTTTGCTAATGTGTCGGGTACAGCGAATATCAAAATATATAATGTAATATATACGTTAATGTACATTTTGTATATTGAGATACAACGAAACTCAAAAGTCAGATCGAAATTCTCATGAATTATATTGAAAAATAAACATTGTCATGAAAGTATTTTTGATGATGTTTAAAGAATAATGGCTCAGCAACCGTATGCGCTTTTTCACTTCTTTCGGTGTGATGTACAATAAGGTATTGTTTCATTTCCTTGTTCGCCATAGAAGTGCACAATTGTGTGTTACTTTTCACAATACCTGCGGTATTTCCACCACACAGCATAGGTGTTTTAAAGGACAAAAAGAATCATAGCTTTCTGACCAGCTTGAAACATTGAAGATACTAGAACGCTAGTTAAAATGTCAAATCACTGGGCATTTTAAATAGAGAACAAAGAAATCTTCTCAGAAACCTTTAAAAACAAGTACACCAAAAGCTCAATAAATATATTTCTTTCACAAACAACACTCATTCATAGTTCTATTCTCCCATGTGAACGGTTACTATGTGACGCTTCAAACTCTTAGGCATACTAAATTGTTTACAACAATGTATACAAACTGTCTTCCTGTTAGGTAATTGTGTGTGCACATTTTGAAATGTGACATCTCAGTTCGTACACAGTGTTCACATTTGTACAGATTACTACTTCCTGAAGTCGGATCACTTCGTACATGATGTAGCAGGAATAACTGCTAATATAAAACAATTATTGTCAAATAGTTTATTTCTTTTTTGTTGTTTCACCGAAATCTTTTTACATTCTTTACCATATATCTCATTGGCGACATGACTATCTCCATCACGACAGAGCTGTGTAGGAGCACATTTGTCTCGGAGCACAATTGTCTTACGTAAGACCGATGCGGTCGCATTTGTCCCACATGAGACAAATGGGACCTCAAATGTCTACACCAAAAACCTCATTTGTGTGACAAATGTGCTCCGATCAAGTTTTTCAAGGGACAAGAAAGCACATTTGTCTCATGTGTTTTTAAGGGACAAGAAAGCACATTTGTCTCATGTCATTTTTTATGAATTATTTGTCACATATTTCTCCACGGCAGAAATTCTTTTTTAGAATCGGGGTTCGCCGTTTTACCTCAAGTGTAATCATCTGCTTTCTTTATGAAAACCTACAGTGAACTATTAATTACAATATCTCTAATTCAAGAAATTGATTGACTTAACCTTAAGGGGTACACTGAAACATAGTAAATCCCGTTCACGATGGTACAATAGTGACAGCGCGATGGCACGATGGTACGTTGATGAAAACGCGATGGTGCAAACACAATGGTACGAACGTGAAACAACGATTGTACGATGGTGAAACAACGATTGTACGATGGTGAAACAACGAAGACTCGATGATGAAAACATGATGGTACTATGATGAAAGACGATGTTACGATGGTGAAAATACGATTGCACGATATGATGAAACTACGATGGCATGATGATGAAAACGCGATATAATTTTCTCTATCGTGTCATCGCATCATCGTGATTTCACCATCGTGCCATCGTGTTTTAATCATCGCACCATCTCAATTTCACCTTTGTACCATTGTGCATAGCTGTTCAGGGAGACAAAAATGTTACTTATGTCCAAACGGAATACCATAATCAGTTGATATATAATGATACAATATCGTGACTCGTTTCGCATCTCGCCGAAATCTCGCGTCTCGCGAAATCTCGCGTCTCGCTTCGCATCCCGTTCGTCGACGCGGGACAAGAAATTGATTCCAGGTCATATACCGCTAAGTAGTATTCCCTTTATAGTCCACATAAAATCACTTATTATGCCTGAGAAATGCTTTTATTTGTATTCCTCAAAAGCTTTTTATTTTTGGTATACTTTTTTAGCTCCAAAAAGTTACTCATTGGCTAATTATCTGAAGCATTTTTCATCTGCTGCTTTTTTGCAGTTTGTACAGCTGAAGTGATTTAGAATTTTGTGACTACATTGTTTACATTTTGCTACTTTTATAACGCATTATTTCACATTTATTGCGAATTTCTTTGGGTTACAAGTATCTAACTTCCTCAGAAATCATTATTTGAATATCAATAAATTCATACTTTTACCCTATCTAAAGAAGTAAAACTTTACTCATTTCTGAAATCTCTTGCGACATTGCGAGATCTCCTGTTACAATATCGTGCCTCGCTTCGTGTCTCGTCTCGCCCGATTCTCAGTGGCCCGATATTCCATAATTATGGCATTACCCGGATTAATTTAGAAACTCATGCATGTTGTAAGTGTCTTTTCAATGGCAGATCTGAAAGCCGCAATTCTTGGAAAATGACGACTTTTTATACATATATTTCTGATGAAAAAGAAATACGTGTGTAATGGTCTTCTTATTTTTTCCATGGATCATTTAAGGGCCTCCGTGGCCGAGTGATTTCGAAAAGTCACTTGGCCATAGCCGCTGTAGATTCGACACATACACGGGGCGTCGAACTATTCATGCGAGGATCCCGGTCAGGGTCCAAATGCGTAGTACATGTGCGCGTGCGCACGTAATAGCTATCACGTGCGCACGTAATGGTATCGCGTGACCACGGAAAAGCTATTGTGTGCGCACGTAATAAATAAGAAAATTCGATGTCCCCTTTATGCCACCGTAATTACTACAGAATATTTCTAGTGCCATAAATCATTTATAAAACTTTAAGCATTGAAAATAGACGTATCACAATTGATAACGATAAGAATAAACGTGCTGCATATGTGTTTAGGTTCTGGATGCTGCACTTGTAGAATTTTTCATTGTGACATGCAGAACAGGGATATTCTTTAATTTAATATATGACTCCTATGCAGAGGCAGGAAGTTTTTGACTGACCGGAAGTGACCTCAAAACGGTATTTTGAATACAGAAAACACTGAACAATGGCTGGTAGCCGGTAAACAGACGGACATAATTATTACCCTTTAAGAATTTTATGGAAAAAATGTGAGACAAATGTGCTTCGAGTGTCCTTTCTATTGTGTGTCGAACACATCTGTCTCATTTCCAATTTGTCGCAAATATGAATGTTTACGAACACATCGGTCACACTTCGTGAGACAAATGTGATCCGAGACAAATGTGCTCCTACAGAGCTGTCTCAAAGAACAAATATCCTATGTCTTTTTTTATTCACTTATGTTTTGATCTGATTTCAATCTTATTTCATTTCTAGACCTTTTATCTACTTGAAACATTTTTGTTTTTAATCTGAATTGCTGTTTAGATGAAAATTGGAGGAAAAATAATCTGTTTCATGATGAAACGGTCCATTTCAACGCTGAATTCGCTAACTGGGAAACGCCGCCACAACTACATTTCAAAACAAGTATAACAACTTTACGTTTTCTCGAAACTTTAATCAAATCTACATCGCATAGCATTCTCCGAGTTTTGATATTTGGTGTAGAGTTTACAAAATATATAAAATATGAACACACTTGACGCTTGATTTAAGCGACAGGCACTAGCTCGGAAGTAGCGATGGAGCGATTTACCGTATACCTCCAAAAGAGGAAGCTCTATCATTTATCAGGCGTGCTATTGGTTCTATGTAATTGCTTTGCGAAATAAACCAAAACAGTTTAAATCTCTTAGTCTAGTCACAAGAAATTACCGATCGACCGGTAGCCGTCAACGTCGTTAACAACTTTCAGACGTATGGCCTTATGAGATTCAATGATGCACATAGAACTGACAAAATTACCCTACGTCTTAAATAAGGAATAATTTTCAATGTATCAGTATTTTCAAATTTATTTTATTTTTCTTATTTATTTATTTAATTTTTTTGATTTACGATTATTATTTCAAAAGTGTAATTTTTGTCAGTTATCAGATTCATTGTTCAGTTAAATAGTGTTTGAAAGCTAAAGCTTTAAGCGTCTTCCAAGGAATCACAATTTTTCAGATTTTTATACTTCAAGACAAAAGTTGTCCCGTATTTCACTTCAATTTTGTTATATTTTTTCTGGTCCCTCGGGATCATTGATTCCAACACCTTTATGTGTTGAAAAATTGAGTACCGTTTAAGCCGTTGCTAGGGGGCGTGAGGAATATTGCATCTTTTCATTATCCCTCATGTATATATGCAGGCAAAATGAGCCTGCTATTTTTTGTAAATTTTGTTGTGATTAATGCTTCCGAGGGATCAAAATGTGTTTGCACAAAATACCTGTTAATTTCTGTTCATATTTACTTGAAGTACCGATTAAAAACATAGCCATCACTTCTAACAACGCAGTAGACGACGTAGTTTCTGTGTGTGAAAAACAATCCCTCATATTTCATTGTAAAACATCAGCGGCACGTCCAGCTCCAGACATAAAATGGGTTTATGGGAACAAATTTTCTGCTGAAGAAGAAATCAGTTCAGTTAGCAGCATCATATTTGAAAAGGATGGACATGATTTCAGCATCGCGTCTAGTACACTTAATGTTACTGCAAACAGGTCTTTTAACAGTTGGAATATCTTCTGCATCGCAAGCAACATTCCGAACCACAAAATGAATTCTAGCAGTTTGTCTTTTAACATTTTATGTAAGTATTATATAAGATATAAATATCATTTAATCGTTGCCATGTTTATCACGATCATATAAAAAAGTTAAAAGAATTTTAGAAATAAACACTGTCTATATTTCTTTCTAATCGCAAATAATACTGTCTAGAAAATTTATTTTCTGACAGTACAATGTTTTGAAATAATTAAAAAATAATAAATCCTTTCCTTTGATACCTTACGTTAAGGGAATCCACGTAAGCAGTAAATTTGTAAAATCAACAAAGTTTGTATTTCAGTATACTTCATAGCATGTGGGTTAACGCTATTATAAAAGGAACCGAATTATTCCAAACAATGTGTAATGATTGATATATTGATATAGATGATTATTCAAGTAACTTCTTTGACTAAATGCCTCACGTTTCAGACCCTCCAGATCAACCGCCTTCTATACTCAATTCGAACATGACAAACGTAGTTACATACAATGTCATAGAAGGAAGACACGAAGTAGTAACATGTGTAGTACCAGGATCAAACCCTGTTGCCAATTTAATTTGGACAGGTTTAAATAACAGGCAAGCAGTTGAAAACAGTATTGTCACCAACACATTAGAATGGGTGGTTTCAAGACAAGACGCGAATATATTTACCTGCATAGCAAAACACCCCTGTAATGATTATGAGATGTCAATATCTGTTATGATAAAGGTTCTTTGTAAGTTAAGTTTAAACTAATTTTGCTAAAGATGTAAACAGCTATATTGTTGTTATTAACTAAAAGTCAAAATAACGTAATGTGCTGTTTCCATATTCATTAAATAAAAATGATTTCTATATGAGTGTCATGGTTGAGTTAACACAGTTATCGAGCAAATACTGTATGCGAAAGGTTAAATAGTGAAATTTAAGGTTTGTACAATTAACTTGCTATCTTTATTCTAAAAGTCATTTCAACTAATGTTTTCCTTTTAAAAACATGTTACATACAACAGTCCCACCTACAGTCCAAAATATGGCGGATATTAACATCATTGAAGGCTCAATGTTGAACATAACATGTAACGTCACATTGGGTTTACCAGAAATGGCGGCATTCAAGTGGACACGACAAATAGACAGTTTCGTAATGAATTCACAATCACTGATAATAAAGAATATTAGTCGTGATTCTTCATCGACTTATACTTGTGCTGTAGCAAATGTAATGAAGCCTACTATTGGACCTGATGAGAGAGGAGAAAGTAGCGGTTCATTAGAAATAGAGGTTTTATGTAAGTTTCTTCATCACTTTTGGTTTCGCGGGAAGGAATTTTGAACATTTTGGCTAGTTAAAATGTAAAAATCTAAGCTATTTCGTCAAGAAAACTTTATTGATGGAACCAAATCTATCAAAAGATTTGAAATTGAAATTGTAAAAGTGAAATGAGCCTTTAGGATGAAATTATATTACACACGATTGAAATTTCTTTAAATATTATTATTAATTACGTATGGACTGTGATGCAGTCCTTAAGGTTATGCTATTAATAAATATTTTTTTGTAACTGTGTATGATTTCAGCAATTCACCAAATTGTTGCAATAAATATTTCTATTAAATCATAACATGTATCCTTTTCCCCTTCAGATCCACCCACAATCAATTCAATAGACAATTTTACAATACTTGAGGGATCATATTTTAGCTTAGCTTGTCCATTTCATCCAGGAAATCCAAACGACACAGAAATCACTTGGTCAGCAAATGGCAAAATAATACATAGTGTTACTAAGATATTGTCAATCAGCAATACCTCGAGAGAGCATGATATGATATATACGTGTACTGTTTCTAACATAATGAAACCGACAGCTAAAAACAGAGTGAAGGGAACAAATAGTGAGAGTTTTCATCTTATTGTTGAATGTGAGTAATAGCTAGATATAAATGTATATCGTCTTATTGTTGCTGTTTTTGTTGTTGATTTTGTTACTGTTACTGCTGGGTTAGTCATTATCTTTGATTGTTGCTCTTGTTAGTGTTTTTCACTCATATATTTGTATTTCACGTATTACTTGAATATCAAAATATAAAACCTGAATATTTGCATACCACTATTGATTTAGGTAAAGATTCAAATAGAAAATACATGATACATGTAGCTATGTGTAACTTGTTTTCTTTTATTTTGAGATCACGCAAATGTTGAGGAATTCTACATCACGGGACATTATCACAATAGTATCGTGACCATAAATGAGCATGAAAATGTCACATTCCTTTGTCACGTTTCCAGTAATCCCATCTCAGTAACTGGCATAAAGCTTCAAAGTGGACAAGTACTGGTGTCGGCTATATCGAATGATGTTTCCTATGTTCTTGGTCCTGCAAAATGTCTAGATGCTGGCATGTATGAGTGTTCCGGGAAGAATAGGCACAACAAAATACACGCAACAAGACGGCACATAGGTCTGCTTGTAAAATGTAAGAATGATAAGAAATGTTTACATTTGTCTGATACTAATTTAGTGTATATTAATTGCTTCAACTGTACTATTTTAAGTTTTATAATCATACCAATATTTCATCGCTTGGTTCATGTTCGTACTGAACTTCTGTTATAATACAAACATATTGAATTTTGCGTTAAAGCTTAATAAGTAAAGTAAACTTTCAGAAAAGTACGTTTTAACATTGCTTGAAGGTCTAGTCATTCGTTCTGATTATATAGTGCAATCGGTTTTTCAAATCTTACAGCTACTTACAATACGAAGACAATTTCGTAACACCGTTACTAGTCCGAACTAAATATAACAAGTGTTTTAGAAACAATTACATCGCTTCAATTTTAAGTATCTTCCCAATAAACGTATAGTGTTTTAAAATTAAAGGTTCTCCTCGGGTCAACCCATTAGTTCCATTCAATACTAACATCACAACCAGATTGAATGCTCCTTCTGTCACGACGTTTACAGCTTTATCCTACCCGTTACCGTATATGGTTCTTTGGCAGAAATTCAAAGGCTATGGTTGGACAAACATTACGCCAAGCAAGGATGTATCAATTCTCCAGGTTGGACTGAATTTCAGTCTGACTATTAATAATGTAGTGGAGGAAGACTTAGGACAGTATCGACTAGTTATTGCCAATGACATCGGACAGTTTGAGCAACAGTTCACAATTCTTGCCATAGGTAAGCGTATATTTTAATTTTAGTTGAAAGTGTCTTCTTGTAATAACTAGAATCACGACGGATTATATTTTAGTTTAAAATTTGTTTCAATGTCTCATGATAAAAAACTCATTATTCATCATTATACTTGAATATGACAATTATCAACTAATATTTGCTAAAACAGAAAACTCAACTCACAATGTGACAAAACCTATACAAATGTTATGATCATAAAATCATTCTTTAAAATGGTTTGTTATAGTCTAACCTACTTGTGAAATGCGAGAGTCTATTTAAACATCTTTTATATATTTTATTTTATTTTGATATTGCAGTTGAACACCATCAAGACAAGGAAGGTAGCGGAAATGAATCTCTGATTGGTGGTGTAATTGGCTCAATTATCGCAGCAATAGCTGTAACTTCGGCAATCTGCATATCAATATATATTTTACGAAGACGGTATGAACATGTTATGAAATCAATATACTATGAATCAAATATTTACATATTCAAAACAGCATATTTTGCAATCAAGGCCGGTAGATATTCAAGCTAAATCAATTATTTAATATGTGAATATGTATTCATTAAAGTGTAATACCATTCTGTCATTTATCAATCAACACGAACAATTTATTATTTTTTATAAAATTACAAAAGCTTGAGCATATTATGAACTGAGTCCTTAAAGTCATTAATTTATCATCGTTTATTCTGTAACGTTATAGCTTATAAAATAATTATATACGTGTACAATATGTTTTGGTTGTTCATTCCGAATGGAGTTGAGTTTAAAAATGTAATTTCTTTTGACTTCCCACCAGTTCATATACTAGTTATAGTTAGATATAGCCGACACCAGTACGTGTCCACTTTGAACCTTTATGCCAGTTACTGAGATGGGATTACTGGAATATGGTCATTTTAATAGGTCATTTAGAGTGAATACCACTCTTTCTGTTGTTGTTTTTTTAGAGTGATGAGACGACGGAAAATGGAGGATAATGCTACCTATCAAAATGACTTAGGTAGGTAGTATTTGAAAATTATATTTTCGTCTGCATAAATTCAAAAATTTAAATAATATGATTGATTTAAGATAGGGCTATCACCGCGGACTGTGAGATTTTCTGTTTCCTTGTAGCTATCGCCATGTTTTATTTCACATTTGAAGTGTAATTGTTTGCGATTAAAAAAATGCCTCATCATTACACATAGCATATGACTTGATTTCATTTCTTTCTTTACGTGATATACTTATTAAAAATAAAAGTGTTAATTGTAATAAAACAGATGCCGATCCGCAAAGAAGCAATAACATCACCGAATACGAAGAGATTAGTATGCATCAATACACAATAAGGAAGCCATTTGGAGAGCGCATCACAGGTTGCGTATATAGCAGTTTTTTTCTTCAATGTTCCAATATTTCACCTTTCCAAAGATTCTCTTTGATTATCATTTCTAACTTCCGTTTGCAAATATCTTTATAAGTTTATTTACAAAGGTATAACGTAGTGTTCATAAAAAAATCAATAATTGACTTGAAATTTGACTTCACCAACGCATTTTGTCTCCACTTATTTCAGACACAGACAGTACTTCAAATGCGGAAAAACAATATGAAATATTAGACCAAAACAGAAAAGAAAGAAACGATTACAGTCAACTATCCCGGGTCTGTGTGGAACTTGGTGAAAGCAATAGTCCGTGCTCGCTTCCAAGAGAATTAAAAAGTGACAAAGATGTCCCCGTTTATACAAATATGAAAATTTAAGTAGACATTTTAAATCAATGGTAAATTACGCGTGTCATTATAAAATTGCAAACAGCTCTTATATTTTGCTGAGATATTGATGAGATATTTTCTTTTTAATGTGTTTTATTATTATTATTATTATTATTATTATTATTATTATTATTAACTTCCTTATCCATTTTGTTATCTTTCATAGGCAAATCACAAATCAAAATGTCTATCATGATATAGCAATCGCAAAAGCAATAAAGCATGTCGCTTCCTATGCATGACGGCATTTAGTAAGCAACTTCAAAGCAAGATTTATTAACCATACACATGCCATAATTTAAATGAATGAGGCAATCATAAGTTTTCATAACAACGAAGGAAAACGTAAGAAACAACTACGGTTTATACAATGTATATATATTGCATTGTAGTTAATTATATGTCCATTTACATCAATATACATTATCGTCATAGTGCCATTTACAAATTAGATATCTAATTATTTGATAGTTATTATGACATGTGCTATGGTGAAATATTACGATTCACAGTTTAAACTGATATTGTGAATATGCATAATATTTCCATCATTAAAAAATGACGGAAGTATTTGTAAAATAAATGGATTGTACTTACACTGTACACTTGTTATCTTATATATGCATTACAATTAGTCTGAAAAATTTAAGTTGTTGTCCGTTGTAATTCATTCACCTCAGAGTATATCACATTTGCAAGGTTCAAAGTTTCGGATATTCCCTTGATAAACATTCAATAATTGTATAGATACAGTCATAGGCGTAATAATAAAAAATAAACTTTGAATACATACGGCGAATCAAGTTAAATTGTACATGATAATTAATAAACGAATGTTGTATTCTAATGAAACACATATTAACAAAATATGTTTATAAAGCAATCTCCTCAAAGTAATCATTGTTTTTCGAAAAATATATTGAATAAAAGTAAATTTGATAGAACAAGAATATTTGTTATTTAAATCATTCAAATATAACTGGATTCCGTTAAGTATTTGAAAAAAGGCTTTCTGTCGCAGAAGCATCTTAAAAAAATGGGTTAATTTAGTTGATGGTAATATTTTGTTGTCTTTTAATCAATTTGAAAACAAGAAGCAGCCACTTTGTCTTACATAATATTGTAATAATGATAATATTAATAATAATGAATATTGAAATCCACGGTGGCATAAAGAGATAATAGGAAATCATTTTATTTACATGCGTGATTGAGCATTTGTTCCTTTGGGTCGCGTTGTCAGCAAGTTTAAATTCGGAAGGGATATATATACTAACAAGGTATATTTTCAAACGAAGTTTTCTCAATTTTAGAACATGTAACAGTATCATTGGTCTGATGTTGTGTGGTAATATAACATTTAGAACAAACTGCGACATTCGCAATTCCTTCTCTGATGACCTCGCCCTCTGTTCAACCTTATCAAAGAAAAGTGTGTCTGAATTTGCAGTGTTAAATTTATCAACAATCATGCCCATTAAATCCCTGCAGTCTTTTGGGATAGTATGAATTCGATATTCTTTTACAACCAAGCTAAATTTATTCAGTAATGACAATTTAAAGAGAAAATAATAACCATTGACAAATAATTGTCAGTAGCAAAACGATCCTAATATAATAAAAGTTTCGATACCAAAGAATTTCAGATATAATTTAATAAACAAACAACACCTTTTCAAGTATCTGATATCAAATGTTAAATGACTAGTTATATCTGATGAGGATGAATGTTAACACAAATTACTTTCTTAATGATACCACGCATGTTTTAATAACAATAAAAAGCCTACGGCTGAAAGTTCTAGGCACATACTTTTACTCGTGCTGCTTCCCTTTTTAAGAATGTTGTTGAATAGTAGTAAGTATATCTTCACATTTTTCATACTAAAACAGTTAACAAATAAAGACTTCAAATCAGGTAGTACAAAATGTATTTCACAATTGTTCCTTAGAATCACAAGAATACATAAATCATGATTACTATCACAGAAAACATAACTGTTGAAACATGTATGGAAATGCTTGTACCTTGGCTTGTTTCGCGAATTTGATCCCCGTTGCCTGTAATATAAAAGAAAAATACATGTTTGATGTTGAATCTATAATATATACCATTTTACATAGAATATAATTCACTGGTCTTATATGATTTACATCAAGCTGCTTACACTACCAATGCAGTAAACTTGGCGTTAAACCAGATGCGAACCCAAGCAAATACGGACAACTAAGTTTGCTGTAAAATTTTGAAAGTATACTTGATATATTAACATTTAACCTTTGTCCTCTCCTTTAGAAAGCCAAAGCTAATGAGATTGTTGGGTCTGTTTCATCCTACAAAAATATTATTGTATGCTTATGATTTATATATGGTATCATAAGCTGTTAACATAGTTGTTGTTAAAATACAGATTATTTTTGAAGTTGTTTGCACCAATTCCTTCCAGTGAAAAGTCCATAAAATGTGAGGCTTTTCTAATGTTTGTTAACAAACTTTATGAAAGACCGACCTGATTTAGTTTGCCAAACAATCGTTTCTGATCAAATTTCCTGATATAGTTCTAATTACATAACACATTAAGTCCACGGTTTCGATAAGGGGTTAATATGATTCCTTTCTTTTATACATGGATGACAACATTTGGGCTATTATGACTCATTGTATATGTTTATCATAGGAACATAGTTTAACGTTTTACCTTTCAGTTTAAATTGGTTTTCTGCTCTGACAATAATATCAGTTGTATCAGGATGTTTGATCAATACTTGAAAATAATAGTTGTCTCCATCAGGGTCTTCCTGTATAGTTAGTGTGCTGGTTACCTTAACAACACCCTTTCCACCACATGGTTTACTTGTACAGCCAAACTCATTAGTTGATTGAAGAGATCGACTTTCGTTATAAAGTTCTGGTTCTTGACCATCCTATGTAAATTCAAATATCAAAAACATATTTGTGTAATTAATTTAGCTTCATTTAATTATGTTTTTTCATGCAACATGTATATAACTTTTTAAAACAAAAATGAACCAGTGAGAGTGTTATGATATTTCCTTATTTTTTTTTTTATAAAATACATGTATTATATTGCCAAAGTAATACAAGTAACTCTCACCTTGAAGAAATACCACTCAAACTGTATGTTTGAGCTGGGGTAGATGCATCCTGTTGTTGCCATGATATCTATAGACTGTGACTTTTTTGAAATTGATATTGTTGAGCCACTGCTGTCTGGTATGACTAATATCAAAATGTATATAGAATAACTAGTTAAACAATAAATGAAACATATCTGTGAATAGTATCAATTCAAATATATACCATTTAAACAATGATAAAGTGTGACGGTTTGAGCGTAAGATAAGTTGAAAGCATTATAAAACACATGCAAGAAATAATTTGATTAAAAGAAAAGTTAAAAAAAAATATCTGTGAAAGTTCATATTATCTGCATCGTAGGTGCAATTTTTTCAACAGACCTAGCTTCCTATGACATCCAAAAACATATTTGGCAACACTTTGAACTTGTAGTAGATACACGTTACACCGTTTAGGTCTAGTATTATCATAACAGAAAAATAATCATTTATCAGTGTTCGATAAGCATTGCTGAATTAAACATATTATATTCATAAGGTTTTATTTACCATGCACTTTTGCAACTAGGATATCATGCTCATTGCCATCATCACATTTAAACGTTTTCTCATTGTCAGCAAAAGTAACTGGATCCATAGTTATATTAAAGATTCCGTTATTTTTATCGAACGCAAAGCCGTAATGTGCTCCACCGGTTATGTACGTATTACAGGAATCAAACGTACAGTCAGCAACCACATTGTCATCTATTGTCCACGTCATAATTGAATATGGTTGTATAGAACAGGTCACTACTGTTTTACTGTTGCATTTTATCCATTCTTTATCACCTAAATCACTATCTGTTGTAACAGACACTGATGCCCCTGTTGGTGCTAATTAATAAAATAAAAACACCAAATGATCAAATATCAAAGTTATGTTATGATAATAAAGAGGAAAGATCAATTTGTGTACGAGTATTAAATTTATAACCGTTTATTAAACATTTGTTACGTTGATTCTCAGTTGATACTATTTAAACAATAATGTATTTGCTCAGATTCTTGTCAGTAAAAACGGTTAAAACTGTTAATCGATTCATGCAGTTATAGACAGAAAAATTGCCAAAATAAATATGTAAACACAGTAATATAACTTGACAGAGTCATTGCGTTTTTTAATTATATAAAAAGTTTGCAAGTTATTTTTATGACTTGTGATGATATTCAACATTTTATCAAATATATGTAAGTGCAAGACTTAACCTTGAACCAAGTGACCCCAAACTCCATCCAAACTTAAAAAAAACACCTTGGAATTTTCCTTATGACTATGAGACATTGGTAAAAACAATTACAGAGGTTGTATAAGAACATATTAGAAATATGTTTTTAGCACAATTGACATTGACCCTGTGACTCCAGGCACTTGACCATCCAAGGTATATGAAAAACATCAGTCTATAGATAAAGGCTCCATAGAAATCTATTTTTAGCACCCTTGACATTGACCCACTGACCTCCATCTCAATCCAACGGAACAAAATCATGGAAGATATCCTCTTACCAAATATGAAAGACATTTGTCCATAAATTAAGGCTATATGGACAAAAGTGTAAAATGTAATGTTTTAGCACTGATGACCTAGACCCACTGACCCCTACCTGCATCAAAAGGAAGAATATCACGCAAGTTATCTTCCTACCAAATATGACATAAATTTGTAAATAAATAAAGAATGTATGGGCTAAAGTGTAGATAATCTATTTTTAACACTGATTGCCTTGACCCAACTGACCCCTACCTCCATTCAATGAAGAATACCATGCAAGTTATATGCATACCACACATGAAATACATCTGTCCGTAAATAAAAGCTGTATGAGCAAAAGTGTAAAAATCTTTTAGCACTTGTGACCTTGACAAACTGACCCTTATCTCCATCAAGAGGAGAATACTTCAATTTTATGTACGTACCAAATATAAAAGGAATCTGTCAATAGAATAAGGATGGTCAATATACTTGTAAAAGTGTAAAAGTGTTGTTGACATTGACCTTAATTGACCACAAATGACCCCTAACTAAACATAGAATACCTCCCTTGGCATGACTGTTTTAAACATGAAATACATTAAGCGAAATTTGAGGCTGGATGAGTAAAAATATTTAGTTTTTTCTTTACTTTAACGTGCTCAAGCGCATAAGTGTAAGGATAAACAAATAATCATTTATGGGTATTTAACAAACACACAATCTTAAATTCATATAACATTTCAAGAAGTATTATTTTATACGTCTTAAATAACAAGCTAAACGTTATGTTAAAGCTCTTCACTGTAAAAAGGAAACACCCATTTAGTTTACTTATTTCTAAACTACACAAACACTCATAGGTTATACATTAAATAGAAGCGAACAAATTAACTTACTTGGTAGCAATACGGCATTTATTAGTAAGTATACCATACACATTTTGATACCAGCCATACTGCGGTCCTTACTTTCTAAAAGTATTGTTAAATATCAAAATGAAATAAACTAGAAACTGTTTCAAATATTCAATGAATATTACAGCCTTATTTATGAAAAACTTTTAACTATAACCTAATATTGAATTCAAGACAGTTACATGTTAAATGTTTATTTCATTAACGATTAAATACAGTGAAATAAATCTTTTCATTTTGCATATAGGAAATAGCACACACATATAAACACAGGCACGAGTATCGGACCTGGGATGAAAATATATGACCAGATTGATAATAAAACCTGTGTTCATCTTAAAAGTGTCAAAAACCAAAAAAAAATTGTTAAAAATGACCCCCTTTAAAATATACTATAAGTTAAGAGAAGGCCGGAAACTCCAGATTCGAGCCTACGAGCAAGGGATTCATTTCCCGAGCCGTTGTGAAAACAATTGGCCGGACAATTAAAAACGACTTATATCACTATTTCACGTTTGTATTAAGCTTCCAAATGAGACCGACCCCAAGTCTCTAGCCCTTCCCGTTCATGAAATATCTATCAGGAAACGACCTAATTCGTGCTAAAAATCGTTGGTAGACAGAATTGCGGCACAACGATTCGGTACGTAAACATAGACTAATACATGTTTGTCAGCTGAGTACGGCTCAAAATCACTTGAATTTACTAAATAATATTACTAAATACATTAAGTTGGACCACTCACACCCGTCAGTAGCATCTGATACACGTAAAATTCGAATTTCAAACCTTTCCACGGTATTTAGATTCCTTTCAACGCCATTGTCAATCAGCTGTTCGATATTTTGTAACGAGTCTTCTGATTGGCCAATAGCAACGAAACCGCAACGTTTCACACAAGGATGCATAATGGCGTAGAAAGCGATTGAAAGACTGTGTAAATGTTTGAAACTCGAATCTCGTGTGTATCAGGTGCTACTGACGCTTGTGAGTGGTCCAACTTAATGTATTTAGTAATATTATTTAATAAATTCAAGTGATTTTGAGCCGTACTCAGCTGACAAACATGTATTAGTCTATGTTTACGTACCGAATCGTTGTGCCGCAATTCTGTCTACCAAGGATTTTTAGCACGAATTAGGTCGTTTCCCGATAGATATTTCATGAACGGGAAGGGCTAGAGACTTGGGGTCGGTCTCATTTGGAAGCTTAATACAAACGTGAAATAGTGATAAAAGTCTTTTTTAATTGTCTGGCCAATTGTTTTCACAACGGCTCGGGAAATGAATCCCTTGCTCGTAGGCTCGAATCTGGAGTTTCCGGCCTTCTCTTAACTTATAGTATATTTTAAAGGGGGTCATTTTTATATTATTTTTTTTTGGTTTTTGACACTTTTAAGATGATCACAGGTTTTATTATCAATCTGGTCATATATTTTCATCCCAGGTCCGATACTCGTGCCTGTGCATATAAACTGTTCTTTCACAATCAATGCGAACGTTTCATTTAGTAATGACAGCTGAGCAATTTAAAAATTATTTCATTGTAGGAAGGTCGTACCCAATAATACTTACAGTAACTTCCAGATGAAACTACGAGTGTATGTCTGAGTTGTTGGAAACAAATCCGTGATGCCTATAAATAAATCGACAATTTAATCATATAATAAACATAAACTAAGATGCATGGCATTATGATATTGTAATCTGCTATATCTAACGTAAACCTTTTACTATGTTGCCCTAATGTGGTGTTATTTCGATTCATCATCCTGGAAAGGAATATCACCCGTGCGTGCGTGCGTGCGAGTGAGCGTACGTGTGTGTGAGACAGTTTATGTATTCTCCATAAGGGCGAGTCTTCCAGAAGAGTATTAGTCATTTTAGTTTTTGGAGGATAGTGCAAGATACAAATAGAGAAAGATGTTTAATTCCAGGAGCTACCCTTGCTTCTTTAACGTGCCAAGTGAATAAGCACTCGTACACGGGACCTCGGAAGTCCCATCCGAAAGACTGATTAGTGATTTTAGTTGGCCAGCCCTTGAATCAAACCCAGATGTAATGTCGAGATTACAAGTCTAGCACTCTAATTGACCAATACTTGTTTGCTATATTCCTATATTCCCCAGGGGCGAGTAATCTATATCAACGTAAGAAAACGTTATATTTTATGTTCTCTCCCTTGATAAAAAACTAATGATAAATGGTCCTCGTACATGTAGTAATAATATATAGCGGTGAAAAAATACATTATTAAAATGTTGTTTCGGTATAATAGGAAAATAACGGGTGTCAGTTCAAGGGTTGCTAATATGAACTTTTACCTCACAGACGTGTGTTATTGTTATTGTACATTGTAACACGTTATGACAACAAAAACGTTCGACATACGACATAACTTGGCAACATATGATTATGATATAAAAATACAACTTACCCGAAACCGAAAGAGCCTATCCTATGTTTACTTGTAAATTTAATTGTAATAAGAATTCTTCCCCTTTGTGTTCACTGTCAAAATAAATTTAGGTGTTATCGTGTCTTAAACTTACTTACATAATTATTTTTATATCCTTTTTAATCTGTGATCAGTCAACAATTTAGACTTGTTCTCAAATCTGTCTAAAGGTAAATTTCATGTGAAACAGTTACTCTCGTTTGTTAATCACAGCCATCACATCCTCTTTATAACTAAAATCGTTGTAAAATATATGGCTTTGTTTTCTAATTCCATAATTATCTTTAAACACCTAATATATCTATGGTCAGTCAACTGTTTAAATCCTTCACTGTATTGTAGAAAGATAATTTTATCTAAAACCATTAAAGGCCTATAATATCTTTGATCAGTCGACAGTTTAAATCCTTCACTATCTTTCATAAATGAAATATTTAGCTACAACTATACCTCCACTGCCATATATCACTATGATTAATTGAATCAACGGTCCTGGACTTATTTTGCAAACCACGTAACACGCATTAATATATTTGATTGTGTTTAGCATACTTTGTAAACAACACTCCTATAAAATAGATAAACATATAAGAGTCAATTATCACGCACTTAAGCTATGTAAATCTATATCGAAGACAAGTAAAAGATTTTTTTTATAAAACCTTTTGATAAAAAGAAGTTTCTTCATCGATATTTATGGGAAGGAACAGTCAGTTTTAATAAATATACTACTCAAAATTTGATAAGGATCACTTTTCCTACAGTACGTTACTTTTGTGTATTTGTAATAAATGCGAAAATCGATTAAAAGGAATTAAATATAATTAGTTAGGAATTGATTTTTATGAAAATATTGACAATGGAAGTGCTTCTTGACGTGTGTCTGTTGCAGAAAGAGTGTGCTGGACGAAAATCAACATCTTGGAGATCACATAGTGGAATAAAAAAATCTTGCAAATCAGGAGGTGGTTGGCGTAGGGTAATTAATACCGAGTATGGTGTCCGCGGGCATTAATTACGGTCTGGCATTGCCGACGCATGCCGCTGATGAGCCTGCGGACCTTGTGATGAAGAATCTGGACTCATTCTTCTATGATTGCATGTCTAAGCTCCTGAACTGTTGTTGGATGGACGTGGCGTGAAGACATGGCTTTCGTCAGCATATCCCAAGCATGCTAAATCGGTTTTTAATCCGAGGACTTCGCTGGCTAATCCATGCGGACTATAGTTGCCTCCTCAAGATATCGGTTTGTGGTGTGGGTTTTGTGTGCATGGGCTTTGTCATCCATAAGAATGACATCAGTGCCGACTTCGCCAGCGTATGTGCGTACATCGACGTCTGCGATTGCATTGACATACATTACTGCCGTCAGTGTACCGTTTTCAATTATGTGTAGGTCCGTTTTCCCATAAGCGCTCATTCCCGCCCACACCATGACTGAACCCCCGACATAACGGTCGTGTTCTGCAACGCATGCTGAAGCTACACGTTCATTAGGACTTCTCAAAACCCTAGCCCATCTGTCCATGAAGTTCACATAAAACCTTGACTTATCAGTGAAGAGGACCGGGGTCCAATCATTAACTGTCCATGTGACATGAGTCTGCGCCAATTGCAAACGCTCTTGAATATGGCGTTGTGTCAAAAAAATGCAAATTGCTGGCCTCCGTGACCTCAACCCAACATCATGCAACCTGTTTCTAACAGTTTGTGTGCTTACATGCACACCAGTTGCATTCTGGAAGTCGTTACGTAAGGTCGTAGCGTTCGATAACCGTTGGCGCCTTGCCTGAAGGACAATTAATTGGTCCTGGGCTTGAGTCGTTGAACGTTTCCGACCTCCGGCGTTCCCTGCAAGAGATATCCAGTCATTTGGAATCGGTTCCACATCCTAGAGACAACGCTCTGGGATACCCCAATGACATGGGCGACGTGTCTATGTGAACGTCCAGCCTCCATTATTTCAATACCCCTTTTCATCTCACCTTCACTAAGACGACGCCTAACCTGTCTATTTGCCATAGTTAATTTCAAACATAGTTTCACAATAAAACGAGAGAAGTCTTGCTGCTTGTACACGTTTAAGTGAAAGTACATGGCCATAAAACACCAAATTTCCATTAGTATGCTTTTCCATATGCTTATCGTGCAAGGTGTACATGACAAATCGATAGCTTATGTACACGATTACAGTGTATGAGGTCCCTGTACAGGTGCATCGTTAGCGCAAATATGATTTTAATACGTTGATAATAGCACTAAAATTTGCTATGTCAAAAAGGTGATCCTTAGCAAATTTTGAGTTGTATATATGTAGGTAAATGAAATGTCGCATATCCTCATTTGACTGATAAATGTAAACATAACGGTGCGTAATCGTTTCGGGCCGATTTGGAATGAGACAAGAAAAGGTAGCCCTCGTTTCTGAACTGATTTTGATTTATGGCACCGGATTTTTAGCTTGACAAGGTTGGAAAAAAATATTTAAAATAAACATAATTTATTTACATCTCTCAGTCTTTGAATATTCTACTTGCACGAAACATTGCAATGTTTAAGTTCTTCATATACAACTTTACAAATATTTAGTCACAGAAATTTATTGATGCTATGAAATTCTTACTAAATATACCTTATTTGACTAAAAGGATTGTTAACTATGTATGAACAGCTGCCTTCCCAATAACGAGACAAGAAAAGGTAGCCCTATTTAAGAAAGGTCATATATTTTATTTTATTAAAACATGTTTTAACATTTTGATGAGATCTGTGTTACCGAAAAATGAAAATAATGCAGGTTTTCCTAATGTCTTTTATCAGTTGGAATCGAAAAACAAATTTCACATGACAGTGTAGTAAACAATAGCCTAAAATTGCCAAAAAAGTAATTATTGTCTTTGATTTTTCAGGTATTTCATGATCAATTTATATAAAAAAAATCATTCCGCGATAATTTAGTGGTTTTAGTAAAACGTTTTGTCCAGTATTGAACTTATCTCAATGAATCATCTGACCTTTCTTAAATAGGGCCACCTTTTCTTGTCTCGTTATTGGGAAGGCAGCTGTTCATACATAGTTAACAATCCTTTAAGTCAAATAAGGTATATTTAGTAAGAATTTCATAGAATCAATAAATTTCTGTGACTAAATATTTCACTCAAGTATAGCATGTCTAGATGTGTTATGGTTGAATGAATATAAAACAATACATTAAGTTTTTTAAATCATTGGAAAACAAACGCAAACTGCTTATTTATCGGGGTTTATTTTATTTCATGTTTATACAATATACATTTACAATTAGTTTATTTACATTACAAAGTAAGAAATCTCTAACATCTCTAAAGTCTCTAACATAAGAGAATATAACACATTCATTTTGTTATAAATGATAATGTATGGCAATATCTTGATTATTCAGACAGCTGCTGCACTTACAAGCATGAACTCTTTTTTGGTCTTAATACATCACTATTATTAGTTATCAAAATTGTTACAAAATGTCTTTTATTACATTTAAAATGAATGCCAACATCGCTTAAGCTTTTATTTACAATCAACAGTAAAACAAAATATCGAATGTCTCGGCAAAAGTGTGTTTATCAATGGACTTTCAATAATTGAAGAAATCATGGAATAGATTCATGGTAGGTTTTCATAATCCGTTAATGCACAATCATTGCTTGTAGTTTTGCCTTTTGGTCTAGGTGGCGGGGCTAAAACGGGAGAAAATGCATATAATTAAGTAAAATATGTTTGCATTTGCACGATGAACATAACAATGTTCTCTTTTATTTAATGTTGCAAGCACAGGTGCAGCAGACAAATAAAATATTGATTTTATCAAAATGTAGCAAGAACATTCTGCTTTTGTTTGATATCATTATCAATGATCATTCGTGAATGTTTTACTTTTAAGCGTGCTGTCATTTTCTCCTCATATATATTGTCTACACTGTACGTCCGTGTTGGCCTGTGCTAGCTTTCAACAGTTTAACTATTGTTTAGCCCTTCTTCGATTCATGTAATAATACCTAATGTTGAATTTCTGCCGGCTTGGGCTAAATAAAATATGTATGGCTCTAAGGTTGTTGTTTTTGCCTAAACACTCACCATTTACTCTTTGAATTGGCATTATGTCACCTTAATTATATTCTTTGGCAATATATATGTAATATATTTTTGAGCAACACGGCATTATGAATACCAAATAGGGCCCGGTCAATAAATACGTTTAAGATTATCGATACAAAATAGTTCTATATAATTGTAAGTATATTTTACATAAAATTTTATCATAAAACATTACCTAATATTTTTTTCTCTTCATGTTCCGCTTCCTTTGTAACATATCGAACGATTTGGCCTGCTGTGTTAAAAAAAGATTACATAAATGATAAATATTTGTTACATAATTGCTACTTTAGTCAGCATACATCACTAGAAAACGGTGTGATACGTTTACCATTGTTCAAAAGGATCAAACATTCATTATCTATATTCATTTCATTTAGAATATATTGTATAATTTTATGAGAGTAAAGAAACCAAAAATGTTTTTAAGCTTTGAATTTCATACCTTTCCCGACCTTCCCAATTTCGACGTGTATTTCCTTTGGACGTTTATCACCATGGCTTACTTCAGCTTATATGCCATAAAATAAAACTATTCAGATGAAATTACGTACCAAATGCATATTGCATGAATGTTATACATTGAGGTTTTATACATTTTTCGTGCAAAACTGATTTTTTTTATATTTTTTTAGAAAAACACACCTGCCAAACCTATATTGGACGAGGTGATGGCTGTGTAGAGACTGTAAATAAGCTTCGTTCAATTTAGGTCTTGTATAATAGCACCAACATGTTTTAACATTTTGATGAGATCTGTGTTACCGAAAAATGAAAATAATGCAGGTTTTCCTAAGGTCTTTTTTGACTTGCCAAAATGAAAACGAGGCAAGACGGAATTAAAATATAGATTTGATATCTAATATTCACATTGGAATAACAACGGGTTAAACTGATCTAGAAAAATCAAATAATTACTTCTTTTGGAAAATCAAGTTGTGCAAACACTATAAATTGATCAGTTACAGTTGTAAAGGAAAAAAAGTAACATTAGCTATTATATAAATCCAAAAAAAACTTCTTAAGATATAAAAAACTTTAAATATCTCCTTTTCTGTAATTGTAGTAAAATTAACACCTCAATTTCTTATTTTTTAATGCAAATGTTGTAACATTTTCATTTCTGTTAGCACTTATTTTATCAAATTTACATTCCCTGTCAATAACGACCGTGTTCCGCATACTAGATGAAAACTTATATAATGACCATCATCAAAACATTAACAGAAAATATACACAGAATGCTCATTATATAAATGTATTTAAAACACGAGGTGTATTTGTAACTTATTTATAAATCTATTCATCAATATGTTACAATGTTACCTAAGAGTATTGGTTAAAAGTAACTTACATTCGTCTATATCCTGGTATGCATGGAGGGTTTCTGTAAATTGATTCCAGCAATAAATAAATATTTTTAAGCATGTCATAACAATGTATTTTATGAATACAGAACTTTCTTGTTTTTGTTTATTTAAAATTTCATAGGTAAACCAGATTTTTAGGGGTAAGAATGCCAAATAACATTAAAACTATTTATCGACCTTCTCTCTTAACTAATTACATTTGCAAGCATCATAGTATTTTGACAAACGTAAACGAAATAGTTATTCAATTTACCTCTATTTGTTTTTAGTCTTTCATAGGGTTCCCGCTGTACCACTGTTAAGATCAAGACAATAGAGTATATTAAAACGTCATTTTGTAAACTGTAATTTAATCATTGTTTCATTTATAACTTAAGGTAGACAAACCCTAATGCATTACTTCCACTTTGAAGAGTATTATTCAAAGAGGCTAGAATCACTGTCAACTGGCCAAATTTAATAACAAATACATGTATGATACTTAGCACAATAGTAATATTTTTCTAGAATTAATGTTTCACAAAAAGTCGTGTAGAACGAGTGTTTTGATTGGTTTAATCGCCTTTAGATATCGTAAAGCAACCAGTAAAAAAGCTGTCTTTGACACACACTGACACAGCTGATAAATGTTAATTGTTCGGCCGTGGGTACGATGGATGAAAAAAGCAAAATAACAATGTTTTTATGTATAAAAGAGAATACCTGGTGGACCAATTTCTTCGTAATCTTCATTTTTCCCGTCTGCAGATAACCGATAGTAAAAAATAAAACATGAAATATATTCAAAGCTATACATTCTTTATATTTTGCATAGAATGTATCAGAATTATAAGTCGTTTTATAAATTTATCTCCATCATTTCCTTTTACATTACTGCGTAACAATGAATTGCACTTTATATAGTATTTAAGAATCCTGAAAAAAACAGTGAACGTATAATAGGATAAAGATTTAGACACAACAGAATGTTGCTCTACACTTTTTAGTTCTTGATACTTTATTGATAAACAAACTTCAACACTTGCAGAATATGTGAATAAAGAAACATCTTTATTTTTAGATAAATCAATAAATCAATTAAATACAAACCTGACATAGGTCTTTTTTGTTTTAAAGCATCTTCATTTTCATATCTGACAAGTTCTTGACTCTGTTGACTGTTTCCTGATCTAAAATGATTGTGCGATGAACAAATAATTTGAAACAGGCACTGCACTGTATAGCACTGTGCAGCACAGCTCTGATATGCAAAGTGCAGTACGCAAGAACGAAAAAGATTTTTCTATCTGACTGTTATTTTTTATGAATGAAGATTCTCTGTCAAGAAAATAATTTAAATTGACTATTTTGATTCAAAACTATTAGTCACCGTTGCTAACTTAAGATATGATATGAATGTTTTAAGTAATCGTTATTAAGCACATTCTGTAATTACTTTACACCGTTCGCAGCAACTCGATAAAAACACTTGCCTTCGCCGCCGAACAACTATAATCACAACCACTCCTGCAATTATAACTATAAGCCCTGCAGCAGACCCAGCTGCTATACCAATGTATGAAGGATTACTGGTCATGGCATCTCTCTGTATATCTAACATAATAATAAAAATATATAAAAAACATACTTATTCAATTTAAACCAAATATAGTGATTTATAGCACAAACGTTATTGTTTATAATACAGGGCCTGAGCGTTTTATATTGATTCAAAACAATGTTTGTATGTACATATATGTGGTACCAAGATTGACATGTATTTAACACATGCATTGCGTCTCTTCATTTACCTTGTGTTTTAATGCGCAATGTAACTGTAGGTGCCGATTGTCCTAGTTTGTTAAAAGAATAAATTTCAATATCGTATTCTGTGCCACTTGCTAAACCAGTCAGTGTATAATTAATTGTATTTTCGCTTTCGTGTTCAATAGAAATTTCATTCCATATCTTCTCGGATGCTTTCCTGTATCTAAGGATAAATGTCTGCGGATATCCACCGTCTAAGCCTGGTTTCCATTGTACAGTGAGAGATTCTTCAGATGCAGAATTCTCTAAATGTTCAAAATTACTGGGCGGTTCGGGTTTCACTAAAACATAAAAATAAAGCAAAAACGGAAATGTTATTTGTTGATATGAATGATATATTAATAATGCTACATGTTTATCTCACAGTATCAAAAACTTTGAGTAGAAGTTTATAGTGCAATAATTACCGTTATAGTAAATATGGAAAAAAAGTTGATGTGCTGCGGAATAATGCAAAAACGTATTGACATTAATTGTAATAAAATGCTTCTCTAAATATCAAAACCGCACCTTTTGGTCCGACTGAAAACCTTTGTTCATAGATACCAACAGGATTCTGAATCTCTAATCTATATGTTCCAAAATCTGTTTGTCCAACATCAACAATCGTAAGATTCGTCTGCAACCCCGATGTGTCTATAATAATATTGCCATTGTTTTCTAGAGGTATCCAAACAGAACCAACATATTTTCGCCATTTATAATCATTTGCTGCGGGGATAGGATACGCTATTACCGTGAAGCTAATAGTGACTCTGTCATGTTCATCTAGGAAAAACTTGGTTTGCAATATCACATGGGGTGACGGTCGGGGAAAGCCTGCAAATAATGAAGAAATATTTAGATCTTTTAAAGAATCTTGAATCTTAGATAAAGGTATTGCTATATCAAATCAAGATATCAATATTTCACTTAAGATTTATAATGCAGCTAAACATAAGATGAAACAAACTCACTAGTTCAACCAAACCAAACGTAAATTATAAATTTTTGTCATGTAAATATACAAATGTGAAAGACCGATGTAATGTGCTTCTAAAAGTATTTATCAGCATAGCAACTTACAGCGTACATATAAGGTTAAATATTTTTCAGCTGGTGTTAAATCATTGTATGCATTTATCCCTGTGCATTTATAAACTCCGGATTGTTCACATCTTAATGTCTTAAGCATGTGTGACATAGATAGTGTTCCTTCTTGGCGCTTTAAAATATTTGACATATGAAAAATCGTTACATTCGGCTTTGGATTACTTGCTAAGTTACAGCGTAGTTCTACAGTTGCGTTTTCCTCTATAACAACTGGATTTATGCCATAATGTTTTTTAACATAGAAATCAGATACGCTTGCCTCATCTACAAATAATAAATGAATTTAGAAATAAATTAGTAACATGATTTATTTTACATATATTTATAATATAATAGGGTTTATTACATTTAATATATAAATGGATTTAGTCGCTATCCTCAGTTGTTTTCATTGCATCTACGTTCGATCATAAGAGATCCAGAGCTATCGCAAAGTCATCCAATTATTATAATATTAGGTTTTTAACACTGCTATGAATTAAGGGAAACTAACACAAACGTATTCACGTTACAATATAAGAATAACGAAACAAACAGTAGAAATATAATACATTTACAATACTTTCGACGGAGAGTTTCCTTGATTTGAAGTTGTATCAGTTTGCAGTAAAAAAACTAGAGAAAAAGTTTAAATTCTGACAAGCCGTGCGATTAAACAAAAAGAAAATCAGGTTAATACTTAACAGGCAAACTTTTTATTGTCATCGTTTGGTTTCCTTGATTCAGTATGTAGGCATATACTCCTACAGTATATACTTACAGTACACTTCCAGTTCAATGGATCTGTTATTTCTTCCATACACTACTTCCCCCGCAGTAGGCATCATTGTGTTATTTACCGTACAAGTGTACATTCCTGTGTCATTGCGGGATATTTCGGGAATTAATAAGTTTTGCCCGTCCCAAAACTGTCCATCACTTTTTCTCGTCCAAAACACTGTATAGGCATTTGGATAACCTTTCACTACAGGACATGTGATGTTAAGTAACGATCTCTCAATAGCTTTTGCAGGCTGAAGGTTCCCGATTTCAGGGGCATCTTAAAATTAAAAAGAAAAACAAGAATGTACACTCAATTTCTTAGTCTTACATAGTCTTATTTTTTACACATACAACGTTCAAATTCTTTTTTGATTTTTAAATCATAATACCTTATTATTTGCTTGGCGTCATTTTTATCAAATGATGCATTCTGAAGAAAATGATTTCAAAAGTTCACAGCCTGATACGGTCTTATTAAATACAATTATTTAGCGACATATAAACAAATTTGAGTAGACCAAAGTGATATTACTGATGTCTGACTCACATAAAACATGGACTGCAATGCTTGTACTATTTTCCCCCTTTTCCTTTGTACCAAATGTCCGTTGCATTTCATTGAAAGAATAACAGCTGTAAGTCCCTGATTGTTCTCTAGTTATGTCTCTAAGAGGAAGCAGGGACGATGTCGAAGTAAAGGGTCCGTACCAAGAGTAAGATGAAACTGGTTTGCTGATTGTTTGACATTCTAACGTGAATGACTGTCTTTCTATGACCGTAATTTCATTCGAAACGTTCACTACATTACTCATGTCTGCTTGCAATGAAATTGTGGGCGACATCGGCGGATCTGAAACATGATGTTGTGCAGCTCGCATGAAAATGAATTTATTTACAAAAAAGTGCAAACTGTGTAACAAATATTAAAAACTAAAAACGTTATTGTAAAGAAAATCGTAAATTATTTATCAAGATAGATAAAGTAGTACATGTAGTAGTTCTTTACTTAGAAATGAAATCCCTAGTTTGATAAACCTTTGATAAAATATAAATCTAAATCATTTATAAATCAATTTAATTCACGTTTTGACTACTACATGAAATACTACGTACATAACACATTGATCGTTACACTTGCTTGAGCCATTCCTTCACGAAGTTCACCAACTGTCTCATTCATCACATTGCTAGCAACACAGGTTGCAACAAGGTCATTTAGTATTGACGATACGGTCAATACCTGACTTTTGTTGATTTTGTCATTGTAACTCCAACTGTAAGTTGGTTCCGGCTGACCATTCGAAGTACAAGCTATTTTAAATGTGTCCCCAGAAACAACTTTTAAAGACATGTTTTTAATGTTAGGACCAGTTACTGTTCGAAATTGAAATGTTGGATCGTTTGGTGGATCTGTGAAAAAGAAAGGAAATAAATATTTGTAAATATTCATTAAAACAGGATTAATGCGTACATACAAGCGGGTTTGAGAAATACATATTACGTATAATATGTTTTCCATGACATTTTTAATTTTCACGAAAGCATACAGATTGTTTCATAAGGATAAGATAGACAATAATTAAGGTTTACT